GGGGCTGCAACAGGGCCCTCTTAACAACATAGGAGGCCCTGGGCACAGCAATGCACTGGGGCCTCCTAACAACACAACACACCTGGGCTGTGAAAAGGGGGGCGAAGGGGGCACTCGCCCCATGCTTTAACAGTGGGGGAGGGGGCAAACAGTTCCTGCTCCCTACCACATGGGAATTTTAAATCCAATTAAATTGTCAAAATCTTCAATATTCATTAATAATATGTAAATCATGTTGCCTCTATAAGAGTGAGGCTCCTAGAAACGTGGGGCCCGCTAAGAGCGCTGGGCCCTGCCAGTGCTCATGCCTTTAGACGGCACTGGGGTGCAAGTCTCGTAGTTTCTTACGGTGAGATTAAGTCAAGGTCTAAAAAAGAGAAAAGCCACGTCGTGTGTGTTGGGGATTGAAAGACTTTTCATTTGTTCATATCTCTCTATTGAATAATTTACTCTCGAATAAATAATTTTAGTCCAAATCTCCAATCTGCTAAGAAATAAGGCCTTTAATATAGCATGAGGAGATTAGCCTACGGGCTGTAAATTTAATCATATTGTTATCTTCTCAAAGAAAAGAGCAGTGGCGAACATATGGGCACAAAGGAGCGACTGCCCCGGGCTGCACTTAATAACGGGGTGGCAAATTTGTTGTAATTGTTTTATTGATAGTTCCGCAATCTTCGGAAACAGCATTGACTTTTTGGCAGGAGGCCCTTCTCAGGATGCGAATTAAGGCGGTTTAGCAGGATTCTAGCTAGTGTCTTGCCTGCATTGGTCAGCAAAGATTTGCCATGGTAGTTGTCACACGATTGACTGTTCTCTTTACACTTGCACAAGTCAGAAAGTTATCACATGATTGACTGTTCTCTTTACACTTGTACAGTCAGAAAGTTATCATTCCCAACTGGTGAGATCAAAATGTTATCACTCTCAAATGGTGAGATCAGAAAGTTATAATTGCCAACTGGTGAGATAAGAAAGTTATCATTCCCAACTGGTGAGATAAGAAAGTTATCACCCCCAACTGGTGAGATCTGAAAGCTATCATTCCCAACAGGGGAGATCATAAAGTTATCACTCCCAACTGGTGAGATCACAATGTAATCAGTCCCAGCTATTATGTTTCAGTAATATAGCCCTCCATCAGAAAAAAAAGGAAAAATTTCACAAATACTTCTGTTTGTCTAATAATTCACAAACAATAATGATAATACACAAAAGATTTTATTTTGTTCATCAATAATCATAATTTTCATATAATTCTGTAAAGAAAGAAAGGGACAAAAAAATCCTAACAAATAAATTTGTGTAATATAACAACAATAAGCTTTCAGAGTAGAAAATATTTTGTATTATTGAACACTTCCAATTGACACTAGTTTCTCACTAGGACGAGTCACGAACAGAAAGACTTAACTACAACAGACAACACAAAAAAAAAAAAAAAAAAAAGGAGGCGACCAAAGCTAATAGTGATTTACAGATTGAGATTCATTCATTATTGAATCATATGTTTGAAGGTAAACAAAAAGATTTCAGAGTAGAAAATATTTTGTATTATTGAACACTTCCAATTGACACTAGTTTCTCACTAGGACGAGTCACGAACAGAAAGACTTAACTACAACAGACAAAACAAAAAAAAAAAAAAAAAAAAAAGGAGGCGACCAAAGCTAATAGTGATTTACAGATTGAGATTCATTCATTATTGAATCATATGTTTGAAGGTAAAAGGCAATATTATAACAAGTAAGATAAATTAGGAATCTGTGTAATATTAATAGATTAGAGCACTCACATTGTCTCCAAACAACTCAGATGGCCACGTCATACATCACATTAAATCAAATTGATTCTTAACTCAATTCTTCATTGAGGTATTGGTCAGTATAAGTGTCATAATAAACATAGGGAGGATCATAACAAGGGCTGCTGACCTGTGGTTACTGGATATATTGAATGAAGTGGTCATGAGTGTGTGAACATTGGAGAGTTGAAAGAGAAATAAGCCATCCTTATCTTGACTAACTTAAATCTAACATGTCGGGTTAAAATCACATCAAGTTTGAGAATCCTTATTTGGGAGACTTTCATAATTTCTATATGCTTGGTAACATAAAGTTAATTACACTAATATCTATATCACTGTTATTGACAATAACAATATAACATCCCAATGTCAACATGATAATCTATGAAAATAGAAACAGTGAAAGTCTCAAGGTAGAGAAATAGAACAACACAAATATTATTCTTAAACTTGGGAGGTAATTGGTATGAAATTTCGAAAAAGAAAAACAAATTATATTGATATTGAATAAAGAGTCTGGGAAAAAAAAAAATCAGACTTCAGAGTCCAACACACATCACACATGTTGTTATCCGTTTGGAAAAAAAATAAACATAAGATGTTTATTCCAGATAATTTGTATTGTGTTTTACAAGTCAGTGTATTTTTAGAGTACCCGGTAAGAGAAAAATTATTGTAGCCTTGACTTGTGGAATAATCTTTAAGTCTATGGCCTTTGAAGCAGAGACTGATAGAAAGTAAATTAGTAAAATGCTCTTAAAGAGTTCAGTTGACTGGCTATTCCTTTCACAACCAATCATTGGATAAGAGCATTGTTTATGTTCAAGTTAATACTAAATTTAAATACTTCATTAAAGATATAACGCAATAAGTAGAGTGATTATGAATTTGAGTTAACATTTTTTTAAAACTTCAACCATTCTAAGGATATAATTTAAAATAATGGCCAATTACTTTTAATTTGAGAAAAAATTAGACTAATCTAGATGTTTCTGAATTGCTATTGTGGCACTTAACAAACAATGTTTTGAAAACCAAATGCAATGTTCTCAAAGGAATTGTTATTCATTTTACAGCTTGAAATTCATTTGCAGGGCCAGAATCAGATAATGGTGCTCAAAAGAAAAAGAAAATTTTTAAATGGGCAATGATACAAGATCACTGATTTGAACAAATTCATAACCAAGTCATACCATTTAAATTTAAAACATTGTTATATTTTATGTACCTGCATTATTTAAGAGGAACATGAATTCAAAACAAATCTATAGGCATGTAAACATGACGAAAAGATGCTAATGTCAATGATCAAGCCAGAAGTAAATCACTGCCATGAGAAAATAGGATAGGAGCCAGAATAATCAATACATTGATTGTGGGCCCTCAAAATGTAGAAGAAGAAGAAGAGTTTAGTGGAATATATTTTGGGAGAAACCATAGCAAGGCTGAATTCACTAAATCACAAAAATGGTGATTTTTTATATTTATACTTCAATACACTTTCACTAACTATACATTTCTTAACTTGTGTGTATTTTTTTAACTAAAGAAGAATCAAAAAAAAAAAAAAAAAAAAAAAAAAAAAAAAAAAAAAAAAAAAAAAAAAAAAAAAAAAAAAAGGCATAGATAAGTGAGAAAAGATGTTCTCTTAAAATCATGATAGATTTTTAAAATTCAACTTAACCATTTCTAACTCCAAAAACAGTTTATCAAAATTAAAAAAACTTGGGTGACTTTAAAAAAAAAAACAAAAAAAAAACATCGGTATGACTCAAGCTATTTTGATCTTTGGTATGTCTCAAGTTATTTAAATGTGACAATTATTTATTTATTTTTTATTTTTTTTTATACACAAACATACAAAAATAACATTTTAGTACTTAAATGAATATGAGATCTGCTTAACATTATAATTGCTCTGAATGACACACATACACACACAAAGGGAAGGATATATTTTGTTTTAACATGAAGGACATTATATAATGGTAGATTGATTTTTACATTTCAGGTGGGTTTTTTTCTCTTAACCATTAAATTAAAATAAAAACAATCAAAAACAAACCAGAAAAACATGATTATCTTTTATCATTCTACAATGATATTTTGTTCACAGAAATGCCTCTTCCTAAGACAAAAAATTATTGCATATCATGATGTTTAAGAAATGTTTATCGCTTGAAGTAAACTTGATGATAAAGCATTGTTTACAGCGTTGAGATAAAAAGCCTTGAGCAAAAATGTAATTTGTCTTAAGCTTATGAATAATAATAAATATGTAACCAAAAAAAAAACCAAAAAAAAAAGTCTGTCTGCTATAATAATACTATTGTAAATTATCTGAACATCCAAAAGATAAAAAAGGAAATGTGTATATTTTCAGTTAGCAAGCACCAACAAATAATGATAAAATAAAAATTATTTTAAAAAAACAAAATTTTTTTTTTAAAATAAAAAAAATAAATTAAAAATTAATAATTGGGTAAGCTATTCAGAAATGTATATATTAGAAAGCTATACATTTGTTCAAGTTTATTAACACATTACTGTGCAGTGTACACTGGAACTAATACAGTTAACAAAAAAATCAATGCATTAAAATATGGTGAACAAGTTCCAACATCTTTTTTTTTTAATACTAATACACCTGAAAATTTTTTATATCCATACCTTAAAAAAAATAAACATTTGCTTAGAGCAGTGATCCCCAAAATTGTTTGGAGGCCATAGGTTAGACTCATATGAACCTTTTTAATCATGATATTGATCATACATATGTGATTTAACATCTCAAGAGGTTCTAGATCAGTGGTTCTCAACCTGGGGGTTGTGACCCCTTTGGGGGTCGAACGACCCTTTCCCAGGGGTCACCAAGACCACCTGAAAACACATATACTCTAGATATGACGTATCAATGAAAATAATTTTGTGGTGGGGGGGGGGGGGGCCCCCCAGATCGGAAAAAACACAAAAAAAAAAAAAATATATAAAAAAAAAATAAAAAAAAAAAAAATTTTTTGGGGGGGGGGGGGGGGGTCCCCACAGTTGTAGGAACTGTATTAAAAGGTTACGGCATTCTTAAGGTTGAGAGCCACTGTTCTAGATGAAATGTAAAAATACAATTATATGTACACTGTATATTAAACTATGTGTGGGCTATGTGGACCAGGGGAAAAAAAAGAAATGCAAAACAAATATATTATGGAAAATCTGAAATATATTTTGAATTTAAGAACATGGTACATTAAAAAATTGTATGAAATCATGAAGAAAAAATTGAATCACAACTTAAAGTATTCATACAATAGAGTGTAACATGTGATCTATGTGAATGCGTGTGGGTAGATTTTATAATCAAAATGTGTCCCAAAGATACTTTGCCTGAGGTCACAAGTTTTCAAAGCATTTATCACAAAGCCATCTATGTTGTGCAAACAGGTTGAGATGTTAAATTGTATGTAGGACAGGAGAAGGAGAGTCCAATAATGCACAGGGTACAACAAGGGAAAGGGCTTTTAGAAAAAAAAAAAAGAATTTTTGTGTGTACATTACATGGATACGCACCAGCCAAAATTTTATCTACAGCTAATTTGCACCCACTGCCATATGGTCATCTGGGTGTGACGCAACAGCGTCTATTGGACAGATGTACTGTACATTTAGTACCAGAGCACTGAAATGTTTCTCAGCACTACATTATTTATTGGCTACAACATATTAACATAACATTGGTCATTTTGATATTGCATATCTTGAGGACACATCAAGCATTTTTTATTACTCCCAAAAAGGGAGTCTTTATATTTCTTTTATTTATTTCTCATGGTGTTGTAATATGAAAAATAGTTAGCTCTAAGATTGAAATGGATGATGCATAAACAGAAATTATTCATACACCTTAGAAGATGAAATGCAGCTGTGTAATAGGTAGGTCAGAAGTCTTGACTTCTGGAACATTCAGTAACAATGGCTACCGGTAACAAGAAAACTCCACTGAAAATTATTGAACATTTGACTAGAACTCAAATTTAAACAATGGAGGGACGTCAGGACACCATAAAACCTCCACTGATTAATTTAAGGACAATGCAACTAACACAAACAAACATGAACAGCTGGCCTTGTGCAGTATAGCAGCAACATAAGTGAAATAAGTGGTCCAAGTTTCACATTTCCTACACAATCACCAGAAGAATTTTCAGACATGTCAAATATGCACCTTCAATTTTTACAGCCACATTCAACTCAATAAAGTGACAAGTGCTTATCGACTGAGTCAACAAAGTATTTCAGTATTAACATCAACCCAGCTCTTGACTCTAGCTAACAGAATAAAAAAATCAATGATGACATCAGAGCCTAGGCGTAATACAAACAGGAAGCAAAATTATGAAATTGCAATAAAGACAGCATCACCACAGCAACAGCAATGAAAACATCTCTTTTCAATTAAAAGTATGATATCAAACAGCTATGGTCAGTGTCAGATCTAGAAGGGGAAAAAATGGGCATCCCAACATGGGTTGTGGGTCATGAGATACCGTAAAATCAAGTGGATAACTACATATTGGATTACTTCATAAGTACTTATTTATGTACCTTAACAACAACAAAAAAAGGAGGAAGGGTGTCTGTGAATCTGCAACTGGTTGAAACAAAATAAGGAAATTAATTTGAATAGTATGTAAAGCTATTTTTAAAGTTAAGCATTGGGAAATATTTGAAAAATTATTGTGAAAGTAAATGATATTTAAACAAATTGTGTGCTGTATTTGCCGATTACAATCTTCTTAATACAAGTCCTATACAATGTTATAAGAAATGTATTTTAAAAAAAGCTTTGTGTTGATGACCCCCATATTTTTTAGAATGCCAAAGATTTCAAAATTATATTAACTCTTTAAACAGAAGGTTTGAAGTATGAATTTTTACTATTACTTAAAAAAGCAATTGATAAAAGTTGTGATTTTTTTTTTCTTTCTTGGTAAGCAATCAAAGCAATGATTTTATTCATCGATCAATCAAAGCAATGATTTTATTCATCAATAATTTATAAGTTAAATGAAAATCACTAAATGTCTTTGACAACTCATCTTAATTCAACTTTTTGTGTAAGAAAAATAAACAAAAGCAAACAAACAATTTAACGTATATGCTGCAGTTAACTAGTAAATCAATGAGTGTGGAATATTCATCAAGCTATGAAGAATTTAACCAACAAAATACTGATGCTTCATAGCATGCAACAAAATACTTTATAACTACTCAAGGATTAATACTATACATTCCTGTAACTGTTTCAACATGTGTTCAATATCAATTTCTTACTATAATCCACATTAATAAAGATGAAGATCTGATGTGTTCTAGCGATGTGATCGAGGTGTTTGGCAGTGGTCAACATGTTTAGTAGTGGTTTGGGCTGAATGTGTGCAGTGGTAGGTGTTCTGTAGTCCTTGTGCTACACTATAATGTGTGTGCAATAGCAGGTGTGCTGTAGTAGGTGTGCTGTAGTCCTTGTGCTATACTATAATGTGTGCGCAATAGCAGGTGTGCTGTAGTCTGCACGCTTCAGAGTTGTGATGAAAACTGTGTTCTGTAGTAGGTGATAATGTGAACCTCCTGAACATATTCTTGATCAATTAAAAATAAACTTGCATTAAAACTATTTTAAGTAAAATAAATGAATCCCTTTTTCCACAGCACTCTAGAAATATGCCTAGATATCAGGGGACAATTTTTTAACTGCATCCATTTGTCTGTAGTCTTTAATAAAAAAAAATATCATCCAAGTACACTCAAAGATGCATATAGTATATCTGTACAAAACTTGACAGTTAAGACTCACATTTTTAGTGTATACCGGTATAATAAACTCCATATTTCTAATCTTAACAATTAATGTGCAGAAAACCCATTTAGTGGCATCCCTGCAGTGACTGTTTAAAAAAAAATTTGTTAACTATTGAATACTGTCTTGAATACCTCAAGAATTAAAGCCAGTCCAATGTGAGTTTCATGTGTTAGATTGGCGAATGTATTTTACTTGGTGCCTGGAATTGGATCTGTGGACAAAGAAAATGTAAGCCAGTGACATTAAAATTCAAATTCAAAAGAAAAAATAACCACATAAAATGTAAAATAATCCCTCATTTGAGTTTTTAAAAAACAAAAGTATTGAAACTTTGATAATTTCTCTTATTCTTATTCCGTTTTTAATGGGGAGGCGTTGTGGGGAGTTATAGATGACTGATTCCCCTCCTCTGACTGATAAACGATCTTGCTGGCTGCCGTCCATGGTTTGCCTTGTAAAATTTATGTGGTGGGGTGGGTGAATATACATTGCTGTTCTTTATTTCATAAATGTATTTTATTTTAATGTCATGATTATGTTTCTTTTGATAAAATTTTTATGTACAGCGCGGTGAGCCCAGCCCTAGGCTGGGGTACCGCGCTATTTAAGACCTCTTATTATTATTATTATACTGCCGCAAGGTGTGAGGCCTGCTGGAGGCTCATGTGAATTTTTAGGGTTCCCTTAACACAGTCAATCCACCGATGCCGTAGTCTTCGTCTAGCCCTGAAATGGATTGCCTGCTATTGTAAGCTTGCAATGCAGGTTAGTCAACAGGCTTTGAATCATTGTGACCAGGTGGTCAAACTAGTTGATTTATTGTTGGGCCAATATTGGCCCATTGAGATGACCCCAACCATTTGTCTTATTTCCTGGTTCCAAACGTGGTCTCTTGTTTAACCAGCAGCTCACATTAAACATCTCATCTCGCAGGTGAATATATTTTTCTCTCGAGACCTTGATTGGGAGCCCAGGTTTAACACTGGTAAGTAAGGGTTGGAATAAAGACAGCATTAATACACCAGGGTTCGGTCTCCAACTTTATTCTTGGGTGTCTTAGTAGCGGGGTGATTTGTTGGCTCCTACATTTGCCCGCTTCACTCCTGTCTCTATCCAAATTTTCATCCAAGGTGAAAATGCTTCCCAGATATTTAAACTCCTGGTTTTGATAGAGCAGCTGACCACTGAAAGTTATGTCCATTTTTTTCTGGGGTATGTCCTACTCACATGACCATGGTTTTAGCTTTGCTTATTTTCATTCTATAAAGTTAGCAGGTATTCAATATATCAACATAGCTCTGTAACTGTATCTTGTTATTGTTCAGGATGCATTGGTCATCTGGAAATAGCAAGTCATTGAGTGTCTCGTGATTTACATTTGGCATTTTTTGTAATTTTGTCCATGTCTTTAATGAAAAGCAGCGGTGACAGAACGCAGCCTTGTCTGACTCCAGATTTTACTTCTAACCACTCACAGTCCATTTGGGCTAAGCAAAGCACTGAGATTTCTTGTATATAGGTAATTTATCAAGGAGAGATAAAAAAAAAAGACATAGATATTGCGCGACAGGCTCTCTTCTTAACTCATAACAATTTGCTTGACAATAAGTAAAGAGGGCCCCAAAGATTAATCACCAATATATCACTAATTTAGGTTTACCAAAAAAACCTAAAACATGGCGGTAGCAGGCAACCCATTTACAAAAAAAACAACAGAAAAGGATATCTTACTTTCTCTCTTGTCTTTCTTTGTGCTTTGCAAGCAGACGCTCCTGTGTCACCTGAAGTTCTCTCTTGACAACACTAGCATGTTCCTTATCTCCCCTGATCTCTAGAGTCTCCAGCTCAGCTGTTAACTTATCTGACTCCTCCCTCAGTTCTTGTATGCTGGCATATATATCAGACTCCTCCCCTTCCTAGGATAATAGTAATAATTTGAAATTTTATGCACCATGAGCTCTAGTATTAAAATATGATTCCAAAAAAAAAATTTAAACTAAATATCTCAAGCTTTAGAATGTGATCATTGCAAATAATATTTTTCAGGATTATTACTGAAGTGTTTTTCCGCCCTTTTATAAAGGCAACAACATGTCTTAAGGTCTCCTAAAGAACCTGTATCTAGAAGCACAAATTAGATCCTAGTTTATTAAGTTGTGGTGGCAAACTATGGACTAAAGCAATTTTATTTTTAAAAAGTAAAAAAAAATAATAATAATTTTCCATTACACTAAGACTTTTTATAAGGCAAACAAACCAAAATAAAAAAAAAGAATTTACAGACTCAACCAACAAGTTAATCTACAAAAATAATTTATATAACCAATATTGTCCTATATCTGATCAGATGTATATGGGAACTAAAATTCTCAAGCATACCATTTCGAATTATTTAAATCCTTTTTAACAGTAAATTACGTAATTTTTAGCAGAAGAGATCAGCATGTTTCTTCTGCATGGTTACCTTAGGGTTTCTCATCTCCACATGGACAAGCAAAGACGCAAGCTCCAATTTTTCAGAAAAACCATTACAAAGTGGAATAGCACGGTAACCTGAGTTGGATTGAAAAAAGATGTTTGCGTTAATTTCAGCACCAGAGCTTTTGTCATAAGTCAGACTTGTCAGTGTATTAAGGATATATGTGTCAAGGTATTGTCAATAAATAAATCGGTCTAGATGTTTTGAGTTTGTATTGAAGTAGAGTGTTGTGTTTAGTGTTGTATGTTTATCTTCATCAATGAATAGTGAATTCATTTCAAGCAGAGGATCCCAACCTTTTTGACTCACCTTTTTTAGCATAAATTTCTATGGGGGAGCCTCTTAGGCCTACTGTTTGTCTTACAAATTAATAGTATTTAGGAATTCACATGAACGAACGCAAAGTCCGAGAGAAAGGCACAAGGGGTCCTTAGGGCTCTGTGGAACAATGGTTGGGACTCACAGCTTCAAAGGATAAGAACACAAATTTCAAAAGAGGACTAACCTTGTTTAATACAGAGTATAGGATAAGTGGCCTGACCCAGGAAGTTGGGCTCCCCGAAAATGTCCTCGTCCATCACGGCAAATCTGATCAATGCCAGCTCGGGACAAAGAATATCAAACACACAGTTGTCAGACCACAGGGGGTTGAGGCCGTTGTCAGCTGTAACAGATGTTAGTTCTTCACGTTAAGCCATGGCATTGTTGCTTAAAAGAGATGCAGCTGTTTTGGAATCTATTGTGACTAATCCTTTATAATGGTATCAGAGACCCGTAATTTATTTTTAGCAGTGATTTTCAACCGTTTCAAGATGCTTTAAGAACCCATTGAAAACAAAGTGGATTTAAGATGTCTTATAATTTAAAAAAAAATTTAAATCTAGGATTTGTTCTCATCATAGCCCAAAATGACCCCAAGCATACAGTTTGAAAAGCATTGCAGTCGGATACAATTAAAAACTCAACAGGGGTTACTTAAATCCAATTAGAAAAAAAAAAGGTGTGTTTCTAAGGAGTTGGGGATTAGTCAGAGTTAAATTTCCAAAGTTGAAGCTCTAATTTGTTAATTTAAAACTGCAGCAACTGGTTACAAGACACTATGAAATTACGGCTCTTTATCTTTTGTGCTTATTTCAAATAATTATATTGCACTGAGTAAATATTTAGGTATGAATTATTTATAAAAATTGTGCACATGGTATCAAGATAAAAAATGTTCTGTACCTAGAACCAGTGGCTTGGGAAGAAAAGGGGTTGGGGGGGGGGGGGGGGGGGGGGGGTGCGGTCCGCCTAGGGCGGCACTCATTTTCTTTATAAGGAGGGTTGGCAAATCTTAGCGGCACTAACACTAGCTACACCCCTGCCTTGAACAGTAAAGACCAGAAGTTGGCCCCGGTATTTAGTTGACTAGACAAGCTAATCCCTTTGTATAACACTGATAATTGTTGCTGCTTTGTGTGTAAGCTTTCTGTCCAAAAAAAAAAAAAAAAAAAGAGGATCAAGATCTGCCAGCAGATCCTCACAAAGACACAGAAGACACACAGCATGGCAGAAACACTGAAACCCTGCCTTGAACAGGAAAGACCAGAAGTTGGCCCCGGTATTTAGTTGACTAGACAAGCTAATCCCTTTGGATAACACTGATAATTGTTGCTGCTTTGTGTGTCAGCTTTCTGTCCAAAAAAAAAAAAAAAAAGAGGATCAAGATCTGCCAGCAGATCCTCACAAAGACACAGAAGACACACAGCATGGCAGAAACACTGAATCTGTCTCCTGATCAGCGCCTTTGGCTATAGGAGGGGGCGAACAAGCCAATCTCCACTTCTGGGATAAAAGTTGGGTTTACGGGTTTGATCCAGTGACAAAGCGGCAGTCCCCAAAAAACATATGGTTGCCACTTCAACATCCCAAAGGGAATCTGAAAGTTATTTCTGGCCAGTGGTTCTCAACCTTCCTAATGCCACGACCCTTTAATACAGTTTTCCCATTGTTGCGGCGACCCCCAACCAAGCAATTATTTTTGTTGCTACTTCATTGCTGTCGAGTAAATGAGTTTTCCAATGGTCTTAGGCGACCCCTGTAAAAGGGTCGTTTGACCCCCAAAGGGATCGTGACCCACAGGTTGAGAACCGCTGTTTTAGGTGTCAAAGAATAACCTTCAGGAAAAAGGGATTTCCAATGGTGCCTTTAAGGCATGGAAGTGCTGCTAGGATTGCTTTGTGTGCTGCTAGGATTGCTTTGTGTGCTGCTAGGATTGCTTTGTGTGCTGCTAGGATTGCTTTGTGTGCTGCTAGGATTGCTTTGTGTGCTGCTAGGATTGCTTTGTGTGCTGCTAGGATTGCTTTGTGTGCTGCTAGGATTGCTTTGTGTGCTGCTAGGATTGCTTTGTGTGCTGCTAGGATTGCTTTGTGTGCTGCTAGGATTGCTTTGTGTGCTGCTAGGATTGCTTTGTGTGCTGCTAGGATTGCTTTGTGTGCTGCTAGGATTGCTTTGTGTGCTGCTAGGATTGCTTTGTGTGCTGCTAGGATTGCTTTGTGTGCTGCTAGGATTGCTTTGTGTGCTGCTAGGATTGCTTTGTGTGCTGCTAGGATTGCTTTGTGTGCTGCTAGGATTGCTTTGTGTGCTGCTAGGATTGCTTTGTGTGCTGCTAGGATTGCTTTGTGTGCTGCTAGGATTGCTTTGTGTGCTGCTAGGATTGCTTTGTGTGCTGCTAGGATTGCTTTGTGTGCTGCTAGGATTGCTTTGTGTGCTGCTAGGATTGCTTTGTGTGCTGCTAGGATTGCTTTGTGTGCTGCTAGGATTGCTTTGTGTGCTGCTAGGATTGCTTTGTGTGCTGCTAGGATTGCTTTGTGTGCACACCTTTGCTTTCAAAGGAGACGGCGACCAAAATTTAAAACGGATTTATGCCAGTGATGCCAGTAATATTTTCTTAGCCTCATGCCAGTAATATTTTCTTAGCCTCAGTCTTGGATATTTCTGACAGCAGGGTAATTGTGAAGCCAGATAATACTTTTTTTGTTGAAAATCTTCACCGTGGTTTACCTCTCAGCCAACAGGTTCTCTCAGCACACTTGGATAAGCAATGTCTATTTTCTAATTAAGCCTCTTTAAGAACACAGGTTAGGTCTAGGTCAGTTCAACGAGGTGCACAGTTGTGGTTTTTTTTTTTTTTTGTTTTTTTTTAAAATTTACAATTATTTCCCAATCGGGAAAGATTGAGCGATGTGCAGTACTTACAACATGGGGCAGTTTTGTACTTTTGGTTATCACAGTCCATGCCGGCAATCTCAATCTCAATAAAAGGACTGGCCGTTCCCCTGCTTTGCTTAACAAGATGCCTTGCTGCTATGATCTGAGGGCGGAGGGGGAGAGGATGCAAGATTTGTATAAATTAGGTAAATAAGTAATAATAATGTTAACAAAGACAGTTTCACTATAACACCCCCCCCCTCCATCTTATTTTTAGCCATCTTCTGTTCCGCAACATATAGCATTCTTAATATTACAGTAGGGTGACCAAACATCCCGTAAAAACGGGATTCTCTAGTTTTTTAACGATCGTACCCGGTGTCTCTCGGGATGCCTAAATGCCCTGTTTCTAAAACCAAACACATTTTCTGTTCTAGTTTTGACAACTTTATTTTTGATAAGAAGGAGATTTTATCAATGGCTGGGACAACAGCCAAATATCATCAATTTAAATCCTAGACTAGAGAATTTTACACATGTTTAAAATATGTTAAAATAAATAAGTATTCACTGTAAAATTATTGTTTTCGTTTATGGCATGCCTGAAGAGTTGAAATTTAATTAAAGAAGTGAAGGTAAATTTAAAAAGATTTCTAGGTCTCAAAATAGTTTAAATGAGCATATTTCAATAAACAGTTTCCGGCGGAGGCCCCTGGAGCCCTCTTTAGCTGTGTGACCCGTTTTTTCCAGTTCATGATATAGTCACCCTATATTACAGCCACTTTCAGCTCACTAGGGATCAAGACATAATGATTTCCTGATGAAATGAGAAGGCTGTTATACAATAACTATTTTGAACGTTTTGACTATTCTTAAAACTTTAAAATATTATCACAAAGAAAAGTAGAGATGACTAAAAGAAACAGTTAACACAGAGAGATGGATGACTTAGAGAAGTGCTGTCCAACCTTTTTGACTACGCGGGCCAAAATTTGTTTCCGCCAACCCCAGGGCTGCAAATGACATCTCAAGAGAAATATTTTTTTTTAAAAAGAAAATTATTCATTTTATTAATACTTCTTACCTCATCCGTAAGGAGTCATCCAATGGCATAAAGAGTCATACATCCAATGGCATAAAGCGTCATACATCCAAAAGCATAATAAGCTTATCAAAAATATAAATAAAGCGGATCAAAACTGATACCCATTTTAATGAAATTTTGCTTTGATTTGTACTTGCCATTTTGTTCATTTCAGATATTGGATTAGAGATACTTACCCTGAATGTTCACCAGTCACAGCGGTTTCATTTGTTAACTAAACTTTGGTCACTGCAGAGCATCCAGCCCCACTGATGTAGGGTGCTTCCTTTAACTAGACTTTGGTCACTGATGAGTATCCAGCCCCACTGATGTAGGGTGCTTCCTTTAACTAGACTTTGGTCACTGCAGAGTATCCAGCCCCACTGATGTAGGGTGCTTCCTTTAACTAGACTTTGGTCACTGCAGAGTATCCAGCCCCACTGATGGAGGGTGCTTCCTTTAACTAGACTTTGGTCACTGCAGAGCATCCAGCCCCACTGATGGAGGGTGCTTCCTTTAACTAGACTTTGGTCATTGCAGAGCATCCAGCCCCACTGATGTAGGGTGCTTCCAAAAACATGGTCAAAATTTTACTACCTTTCTACAGTTGGGGAAATTCATCCAGAATTTATTACTTTCACCTTAAATTTTTTTTTTTTTTTTACACACATCATAAATATGTCTCCAGATGTGGTGGGCCCTTTAAAGTCAGCTCATGCTGCTGGCAGGTTGGACAGTACTGACTTAGAAAGCTGAATGACTAAGACAGATGACTTACAGAGGTGGATGATTTACAGAGGGAGATGACTTACAGAGGTGGATGACTAAGAGAGACAGGTGACTTGCAGAGGTGGATGACTAAAAGAGACAGATGACTTACAGAGGTGGACGACTTAGAGAGACAAATGACTTACAGAGGTGGATGACTTAGAGAGACAGATGACTTACAGAGGTGGATGACTAAGAGAGACAGATGACTTACAGAGGTGGATGACTAAGAGAGACAGGTGACTTGCAGAGGTGGATGACTTAGAGAGACAGATGACTTACAGAGGTGGATGACTAAGAGAGACAGATGACTTACAGAGGTGGATGACTTAGAGAGACAGATGACTTACAGAGGTGGATGACTAAGAGAGACAGATGACTTACAGAGGTGGATGACTTAGAGAGACAGATGACTTACAGAGGTGGATGACTTAGAGAGACAGATGACTTACAGAGGCGGATGACTTACAGAGGTGGATGACTAAGAGAGACAGATGACTTACAGAGGTGGATGACTTAGAGAGACAGATGACTTACAGAGGTGGATGACTTACAGAGGCGGATGACTAATAGAGACAGATGACTTACAGAGGTGGATGACTAAGAGAGACAGATGACTTACAGAGGTGGATGACTAAGAGAGATAGATGACTTACAGAGGTGGATGACTTACAGAGATGGATGACTAAGAGAGACAGATGACTTACAGTGACTGAAAGCGTAAGCGGCTCCACATTAAGTACCGACAGGAACTTCTTTTCATAGGGGCTGTACAGGTCACTCTTGAAGAGCGCAGGTTGCAGGACATACCCACACCTAGAGGGGGCAGAGTTTAGCAGTGAAACACCTGTATAAGCTCCTACAGCCAAAATAAACGTGAAACATTTTTTTTTTTTTATAAACTTAACAAATGAATTGTTGCAGCTAGAATAAGAACAATAACCCATTCTCTGCCAAGTTCGGCTGTGAGATGATGACCACGCATACTATTTCCCTGGCTGCATGAGTTCATGTTATCATCTCGGCAGCTTCACAGATTATGTGAGCTTAAGGTGTGTACATCTACGGTAATGATGTAACTATCTTATCAAACATAACAGAAAAATAACTGACCAATGAAATAATATTATTATAATCATTCTATCCACTTTCTTTTTCTTGCATTGTTATCAGAGTTCCGGAGAGGCCACAGCCATTAGAATTTTTGAGGCCCCTGGTAGATTTTTATAAGCACCTAACTTTAGTTATAAAACTGCTTTATTCAAAATGTTTTCAAAATCTCACTTTGAAAAATATCAAATTTCATTGATTGTTTTTCTTATAAAATATAGAAAGGCATGTGCTTGTGTAGTTGTACATCCCTGTGTAAATTTAAGGCCCTATGAGTATGATGCCCAGCTGACTAAATACATCACATTTAGAAATGATGTCGGTGGGCCGTCGAGCGCAAGCTCTTAATTCCCCCCCAGCACACCTCCACATGGGCCAGATGCCTTATTTCCCCACCAACAGACCATGCGGCGGCACGCCTGGAACCTCCCCCCTGGCCTGGGAGACATGCGGCCGACCAAAGACATTGCATTTAAAGTGTCTGCAGTCAACTCTCCTGAGGGTTTGGGCGGGTTTGCTTCCACTCCGGGGTCAATGGTGTGCCGTTACAACCCTCCCACCACCCAAGGAGTCTTTCGGTTGAGACAAAACGGTCGCCTTGGAGCAGCTTTCTCACAGCTGCATAGCTGACAACCCCTGTGAAAGGGTCTGAGTAGCAAGCGTTTGATACAGATTTTCTAACAATTCACTACCAACATAGAATTTGATGGCTGTTATAACCTGACCTGCCATTCATGAGGAACCGTCCCTGGTTGAGCTGCATGGCCCTATCACTTGTCTGGTAGTTTAAGGCCAACAGCTGAGACCCGCAGTTCCAAATGGGTACAGGGTCATAGTTTGACGAGTCCACCCTTTGACCTTTAGGATACACCCTGCTGAACTGTTTTCTGTGGTAGCTGTTAGAATTTTGGGTTAAGGATAACATTACTCGACGCCTGTGTTTTTAGATTTACCAATGTTTTTGCTCTCCTTTGTGATTTACTTTTGGAATATTCTTTAAATCTTTTAGACAATGTAGTTCAATTTTCAGATTTAAATGAAATGACGCTTTTTTTGTGGATATCTCACACACATTTATGCTGTCTTTCTTTACTTCAAGTTTAATATGTGGAATTTTTGTGATAAAAATTTTAAGGTAAAAATGTTTTTTGTTTTTTTAAAATTCAGCAAAAGTTTGTACTAAAATTCATTTAAGAGTTTTTATTTCCCACATTGTCTTCTTTAAAATATTTAATTGGCCTTGAATTTTTTTTAAACTTGCATCAAAGTGCAGAGAATCTGTTCATAAGGTGCTGTAAGAAACATATTTTATGAGGTGCTTTAGCACATTTAAAGAGTGACAAAATGCCTAATTGTTGCTGGATTTAAATTTAATCAACGATCCCACATGTGAACATTTGAAGTCAAGGTTATCAAGACTCTACAAAGTTAAAAGGATACCCTATAAACTGCTTAGCTCTGTGCTTGTTCACCCATTTTTCAACTTTAGTCTCTGGAAAAGATGACATCTCGTAATATGGTCCTGGTATTTCTGTGGAAGTAACAGTTACGTTACATAGAGGATACAGAAACATTGATGGGAGATTGTCTGTTGGTAAATATTAAGAGGCTGTTGATAAACATAAATTGAGTTTTGGAGTAAAATCTTAATCTACTCTTATTTATTTATTTTGGCCTCACAGTGTGCTTTTTATAACTGGCCACCCTTATGAATGGCCTTAAATTGATATCATGATTACGTAATGGCAAAAAGGAGGAATCTAGTAATAGAATAAAATTATATCTTGCTTTAGATTACTAATGGAGATAATATTATCAAGTCTGGACTCCAGTATTTAAATAACTTCATTCATAACAATACGTTTTTTTTCAACTCTATTTCAAGCTATGTAATTATTTCTGTTACCGTCTGGGTTGAAAGGTACAGCCCGGCAGTAGACAATCAGATCTGAGAACTCTCTGGCAATCCTCATGGTGCGCTCCAGCTGCTTCTGACCAGTTGTCTGGAAATCATAAAAATTTCTTCACCCCGAAAGCAATGGAAAAATAAGAATAACGACATTTTAAAATTTTTCAAAAATTAATCAAGCTGAACTTGAAATAATTGCCTTACACTGCTTGAAAAAAAAACAACACAACACAAACTCAAATGGATAGAAATATTGACGACAAATATCCAGGCATGCAGGTTTTAGCACTGTTAATGCATAATAGTACAAAACGTCCCCGCAAATGTTTTAGCCCATATAGGTCAAGTGACTTTCTTTCACTCATGGTACACTGAAACAACAGCTTTGGTCTCGTCGCTAAATTTTTTTTAAACACAAACCAAAATTTGGTCTAGGTCTAGAATATGCTCACCCTCTGGATGGCTGTTGATGAGGATACAGATATTTTCTCCATCCACTCCTTCATTTCATCCTCTGAATCCACGGCTATTTCTATGGGTGGGATGTTGTTGCGTGGGGCTATTCGAAACATAAATCTGCCACCTCTTGGAGGCATAACATCTGGGGGAAAAAAATAAGAGCTTGAGAAAACCACCTCTTGGAGGCATAACATCTGGGGAAAGAAATAAGAACTTAAGAAAATTAAATTTATTGGGGAGCCAAAAGATAAAATGGGACAATTTCATAATCTGCTTTGTAATAACTCAATATGTTAGGAGTTTGCATTCCTAAAACGATTCTGATAAAAGCTCGTCGAGGCAAAGTTTAAGATAGTGAACCTCCACGGGGTACGTCCAAATTTGTGTAAAACAGAGCAGCTTGTCCAGTAGATGCAGACTACTTTTTAAAATTCTGGTTGGTTCGAAAATCATGTTTCTAAACACATTTCTAGTAAGTTGAGTAAAGCTAATTATAAGGAACCCAATAATATAATTTAAAAAAAAATAAAAAAAATAATAGGATAATTCATCAATACTTATAATTCTCTAGGCATGAAAGAAAAGAATGTATAGAGTAATGGTGAGTTCAATGGTGCACAAAATAAAATTCCTGATGACTTCACCAAATGAGATGTTTCAAATATACTGTAAGGTGAATCTGGTGCAAAATATTTTCTTGTTTTACGGAAATTGATATAGTCTCAATTTAAATATGGTGTTATAAATCTTCGGTGTAAAAAGGGGGTGGGACATCAGAATATTAATACTGTTCAGGGCATGAAAAAAGGTGTACCCTGGGGGGAGGTGGAGTAAGAGTCTTAAAAATCTTGTTACTTGAGTGAATGTTTTGTCAAGTAACTTAAGTAGATGGGAAGTTCACGCATTGCTGCCACAATTGTATTGCAGGCTATAACTAGCACTGAATAATTACTTTCCTTTCAAATCATGGTACTGTCATCCAAACCATGTTTACATGCCTAACACACCATGAAGGTAGAACCAATCTCCCCATTCTTTTCTCCCAGAAAATAAAAAAGCTTTTACTACGTGGTCGTACCCCATGGCTATCAGCTTAAAAAAACAAACCAACATGATTTTAAACAATAGGCCATCTGGGAATAAGAGTTGACAATGACCATTTGATTGATGTGTTTTAAATTAATGTAGTGGTTTAAAAGCCCATATCATGTTGCGTAGAATCAATTTTAAATACCAAATCTTTGGGGGAAAAAAGTTTATAATAATTATGAAATGCAAATGTGCACAGAAAAAAGGTTATGTTAAAGTATACCAGTTGACTGTATAATATGAAATAACTCAACATCACAGTTAAAACAGAATCATAAGAAATATTTTAAGTCAAATGACTTTGGAAAGGAAACTGTAATTTAATAAAGCACAGCCCCTACGGTCCCGAGTCTAGAAGTAAGACACACCAATTAGACATCCCTGAACTTCAATTGACCCTTGTTGAAGAACACCCAAAGGAGTGGACTCATTTGAATTTTCAGACTGCTGATCCATCTCCTCTACAAAGTTGGACGGAAACCACATCTGTTTCTTGGACCCGTAATCACCACGCCACCTGTAGGAAATATGTTTAAGTTCTATGTTTAATTGTGAAAAGTTAATTAAATCTTTAGAACGATTAAAAAAAGCTTCTTTTATTTTTCAGGAAACAAATTAAAAAATTGATAAGTGCTTATTTTAAAAAGATTAATGATAAACAATTTTTAAATGCCTTCATCAGTACAACAACAAAAATTAATATAATTATAAATTAAATTTAGATAATATATATGTATATCCTACCTACACCTAAAACTGAAAGAAAAGAATCAGAATGGGGACTGTAAATTTAAAAAAAAAAACAGTCACATATGAGGACGCTAGATAGATTTTATTTAAAAAAAAAAAAAATAAAAAAAAAATTATAAATTTAAAATCAAAAAACAAAAATTAATATAACTATAAATTAAAAGACGATAATATATATGTAACACCTACCTACACCGAAAACGAGAAGAAAAGAATCAGAATGGGGACTGTAAATTTAAAAAAAAAAACAGTCACCTATGAGGACGCTAGATAGATTTTATTTAAAAAAAAAACAAATGAAAAACAAGTTATCAATTTAAAATCAAAACCTGTTTTGTAAATGAGTTGTAAGCCTTGATGATATCCATTGTTTTATGGCAATAGTTTAGGAAAAAAGCTAATCGTATTTTAAAAATGTAATGAATCATATATAAAACTATGCATAAAATATAAAATAAATCAATGTAGATTTAATTTTTCAGACTATACAGATGTATTATAAATGAACATAAATGAGATGATGACCAGGCACAGTCTGAGCAAAAAAAAACAGTACGTACCATCCTCCGTCTTGTTTTGTGACATTGGTAATTATTGCGTCCTTACAAAAAGACAATTCATCATTACGTTTAGCGTTGTAGTCATGCAGAGCTTTCACTCTTAGCTGTAGAGAGAGGTAGTTTTTAACAAAATATGAAAACAAGGGACAACTGAAACAATAACACTCTCCAACCCCCATTCATGGTGTCATTACTTGTAAATTACATTGATAATTTTTATTAAATTTTTTAATGAAAGTGAATTTATGTTTATTACATTGATACGTTTTTTTTGTTAAAAATTGGACTGAGTGAAACTATAAATGCCATGAACATTAAATACTTTTAAGTACAAAAATAGGCATCATTTTTCCACAATTTGAGCTTTCAGTAGTTTGAGCAACAAAAACAGCATATCTGACTTTATAAAACATTAAGTAAATAGCTTTCAGTATTCAGCAAGTTTCTATATACACAGCCCCACCCCAAAAGGAACGAAAAAACCCCCCCCCAAAAAAACCTGAGGACTGCAGTATAAATGATATGTGGAGGTTTGCTAAGAAATTGACATGTTCAGCCAAAGGTTTAAGGATCTTATGCTACATGCACAGTGCAAGTTACATAACAAAAGTTTTAAAAAGAAAAAAAAACAATTTTTTTTTGTTTCCTGATAAATATTAGATTTTGAAACACTTATTGATGCTCAAACCTAGTTTTGAAATGCCATGCCAGAAAAAAAAATTCATAGAATCCACATACACAGAATTCTAGTTTCATAGACATGAAGTGCTCATACAAGTCTGACAGACATTTAGGATTAGTGGTGAGAGCATTCCATTTGGAAGAATGTGCTTTTATTACAGATGTGAATAAAGAAAAACTATATAGGGTCAAAATTAGGTATTTAAGAAATATTCGCTTAAGAATAAATCAGCAGAAAGGCATGTATGTGGTGAAAATAAATGATGGGGTGAAAGAAAATTCATTAGCTTCACCAGGAAATCAGGCTGCTTGCATATGAAGTAAGCACAGAGTCATAACTGTCGATCACTCTGAACAGGAAGGCTTAGCGCAAAGTTTAAAAAAAAAAAATAAAAAAATAAAAAAAATTGTAGTTACACTCATGTTACGTGAAGGCAGACGAAATTTCATTTTGAATGACAAAGTCTTAGCAGGAGGCAACTGTAACAAAAAGTAACTAATGCCCAGAAAGATAAGAAAAGTTATTCATCACTCTCCAGCCTCCCCACAATATAAACAAAAATAAACCCTACTGGTGAAAACAAATTATCCCATACAATGCAAATACACCTAATAACTAAATAAACCAATTGTCTTTTATAAGGATTGCAGAAAGTGGAAGGGTTGTCTGTACACGTCATAAAGCTACAATTCAAATAAATTAATTAAATTAGGGCCAAGATCTTCATTGAAGGTCGTACATTATATTAATATATAAAACTAAATAAAAAAAAAACCCTACAAGTGAAAACAAATTATCCCATACAATGCGAATACAACTACCGGTAATAACCAAGTAAACCAATTGTCTTTAATAAAGATTGTGATTAGAAGGAGCGTGGTCTGTACATGTCATAACTCTACAATTCAAATAAATTAATTAAATTAGGGCCAAGATCTTCATTGAAGGTCTTAAATTATACTAATATATACAACTATTATTTTTTAAAACTACATTTTTTTTGTCTTGTGAGATCTTAGATCTTATCCAATTGCTTGACACTGAAAGTATATGACCTTATATGGCCTTATACCAGCTCATGATATTAATATCAATTCCACAGCATTTTTTTTTGTCCACTGATTAATGTTGTCAACCTTATATACATACTTATATACATAATCTAAAATGCCACCATTTACAAAACTGAAATATTAAAGTTATGTTAGCCCTGTTTTTCTGAGCTTTGTTTTCATTATGAACTTGTGCCCATTCTCATTCTTTTATTTTATGTTTAGGTATATATATATATATGATGTAAATTTAATTTATACTTATATGAATGTTTTTGTTGTGCTGATGAAGGCATTTGCCGAAACTTTTCAATTTGTTTTTTGTGTAACCATAATTACAGCTTAAAAAATAATGTTTTAAAGAGACACAGATAATTTGTGTAAATAATCTACTTGAAAGCTTCACAGCATTACAACACTTTTATAAGCATGTTAAAAACAAATATAAAAATTAATTATTGTATTTTTTTAAAAATTATCTCTAATATTGATCTGCTACAAACATTGAAACAAAATAATAATAAATAGATTGTCTTAAGTTAGAACTAGTCCAGGTGAGAGACAATATTTTTTCAGTGTTAAAGAACGATTTTGTAAAAATAAATACAACAGCAAGACTACACCCAACTATGGAAAAAAAATCCCACCAAAACATGGTACAACACCTCTGCAAGATAATATTCAAATGAGAATTCTCTAACACCTGCCCCTTGAATGTATCATTAGAAAACCGAATAATTATGATCCAAACATCATTATTATTGAGTTGAAACTGTTTTACCAAGAAGGCAGGCATTAGACCATTCTTTATTATAAAATGGCGCACTTTAAACTGAAATAAGATAATAATGAAAAAAAAAATGATTTACCTTACAGACAAACTCATTTGGTTGGTGGTAAATGCCTGGATCATATATACCTGTTTCACTGTCATCAGGCTGCTAAAGACATCAAGCATTGTGGGGATGAGGGATAAATTAGGAACTAAATTAAGCAAACATGCACTAGAAATTATTGACATACAAGGAAAACAATGATCTTCACAACAAGAAATGTACTGCCAAAATGAGCTCTAGGAACGTTAGATACAATATTAGTATGACCTGTAATATATGCAACGGATGGGTTAGAGAAGGACAAGACACACTTGAAGGAACAATTTTTCATTAGGGCATATGCATGAAAGCTCTAATAATACAAGTCTTAAGAGTAAATTGAAGAAATGCAATTTTCTGTTATGCAACCCATCTTCTTTTCATTTGGATGAAGAAGTACTATTTAATTATGATAATAAAAACTGGTTGTTATGAAGCTTTGACATAGAGCAGTGGTCTTCACACTATTTTTGTGGGTCAAAATGGACACAGTCATCTTTCATAGCCAAAGACATGACCAATCTAAACCACATAGCAAAAAGCTACACAATAAATCTCTTAGTAAATATCAAGTGTAAAGTTTTAACTTTTGCCCCAAGAAAAAATGACAAATGAGAGTAGAATATTTGTCTAGTTATTATTTCTTATACCACTTAGGTTCAGTTTTTTGTGGCAATAATATTTTTTGGGAGGGCCAGATGGATTCTAATTTGTAGATGTGCACGAAGGGGAGTCAAATTAAGTAGCTCTGAAATATGCCATGGTAAAGCAACATTTAACAAAATAGTGCGCATGAAGCTGATGTCTCAATTATCCCCTGACTAGAGCTTAGCTAAGACATACTTAATTCGTTTCTGTCGCTGACAAGATGTACCGGTACATTCAGTGCTGTATACATGTGTTCTTCTGCTTGCTAGACAGTTAATATAAAACTTTTAAAACATTATCTTTTGTAATATTCTACAGGGTTGACTTCATCTGAATTTACAGAGGCTTTGGAAGCCACAACTATAAACTTCTATAAATTAAACTGATTTTCCTTATTTGAATTAGTGAATTTTTTACGAGAAATAAATCAGTAAGGAAAGCTGTGAAAGTGGTTGAATCATTCCATATGAAAGTGGTTAAAATTAGCAATAACAGTGTGAACAAAGAAAAAAAACAACAACCCCACCTCACTTACATAAGAAAAACAATCTCCTTTGTCCTCCACCAACCAGAAAATAAAAACATTAGAGAAAAATTAGTATAGAAACCAGTACTCATGAAAGGAGTTGTTTAACTGTTTGTGCCTAAATTCCTGAAAATGTTTAGATTTTATTCCTAAACACATATCAAGAATGAAATGACCTGTAGATTCACTTTAATAAAAAAAATAAAGTCCTCTCTTGTACTTGATGTTTCAATAAACAAACAAAACTGAAAAAAAAAAGATTGCACCTAGATAGAGTTAAGATATATAATATAAATATTTTAAATGTTGGATCAGATTGGATCCTCTCAATCCTTTATATAAACCACAAGTGGCCAAAGATAAGTGCTCTAAAATTTAACTGTTTAAATCTAACAATGCAGAACAGTGCTGGTAAAAAGTATACCTTTGGCCAAAAAATATGTTTTAGTATATGCTATATCCAGTGATGACATGCTATTAAAACTAAACATGCAGTGGCATAGTACATACAAACACAATGGCACATTTCAATAAGACTAAAGTGAGGCATGAGCAATAGGGGAAGTAGTGAAGTTTGTCCTGAGCTACTCTCTTGTCTCTGCCTTCATAAACAGAATTCAGAAAGGCTTGTCCTAATATAGAGCTATCAGCATTTTATTCTTTATCCATTCATTATTTTGTTTGCTTTAAAATAGCTCTGTCATGTTAAAAAAATCTAACGACTTCCTCAGTACCTGTTCAATAAGTAACTCAGCCCCCCATGCAGAATTGGTAAGATAAAAAGTGCAAAGCATCCCACCACGTGAGTTTTATTGCAAACATCATGCAATACATCACCAACGGAAACTGTGCTTTGCTTGCACAATAAACTTGTAAACTGTCAGTTAACACAAGACATAACTAGACAAGACATAACTATTATAATAAAAAAAACGTTGATTGCTGCTGGATGAGGGATACAATATTTCATCTTATTTTTTTTAGTATCACTTAACCCCCAACAAATTTATGGCAACGAGTCAAAGTAAAAGGATTGTTTTTGTTTTCAATTTGCTCAACATTTTAACTCTGACCCTCCTAAAAGATAGGAAGCACATAAGAAGCACAACGAATATTAGTGCAAACACCAAACGCAGCATGCAGAATAAAGAAAAAAAAAAAGGTGATACCATGCCAAGAACAAATGAGGGGGGTGGCATCTCTGCCCAAGTTACACTACCTTGGTGGTGAAATCATTAGGGTTAATATAGAGATCTGGGGTGCCATATATGCCGGTGTCATCTGGAGCCTGTTTTGTTTAAGACAAATTGAAATTCCACAAACCAAAAAAAAGTATCAGGAAATAGCACAGATTTTTAAAAGACATTTATCTAGATATTTTTTAACAGATAATTAGTTCACTCCTTAGACACTGCAGACTTGTCCTAAACAAGATCAAGATATACCTTAAAACAGACTGCTTGCTTTAAAAGTTTTAATTAACAACGAACAAACAAAAAAAATATCAGGAAATGGCACAGACTATTAAATGACAATTATCAAAATATTTTTAACAGATTATTATTTCACTCCTTAGACACTGCAGACTTTTCTTAAATAAGATCAATATAACTAAAAACGGACTGTACCCTGCTTGCTTTAAGAGTTTGAATTTACAACTAACAAAAAAAAAAAAAATCAAAATATTTAAGTTTTTTTTTGCTTTAGAAAAAGATCAGTTATGATAAAAACCTGAAAACTTACCATGTTCATCCTTTCAACCACCTGCTGGTTCACTGGCTGGCGCAACTTCATTTTTTTGTAAAGTGGTGTCTGCTCATAGTACTGGACTAGTTCAACTAAAGACTCGAACTGGGCATTACCAATCAAGAACAGCCTTCCTTCCAATTTAATGCGGCAATGCTTTATCTTACCTTCAGCTCTGAAATTAAGTCAAGGAGCTTTGTGCATTGTCTTTACTTTAAAAGATATGTGACCTCTGCATTTAAAAATGCTTATCTGAGAGGATGTGATATGAGGATGTGATATATGATCACTTCTTTGAGAGGTGGGAGCTCAGTAACATACAAATAAATTGTATTAAATTTGTAGCATATTGTTGAAATAAAACACACATATTCAAAATTTAATAAAATGCCTTTCTCATTTAAAAATGACAGCTAATGTATAGGATTGCATTGAATAGCCTACACTATTAGTACATATGGTTAGGTGATTTGAAGCTTTAACCACCAAAAACAAGGATCAGAACTCCTGTACTTTTATATCAGTGTTAGATACTAATGAAAGTCTTACCCAATGATGGCTGAATTTTAAAAAAATAGAATGTAAAATGTGGAAGTTTTTCTAGAAACAAATTAATGATTATAAATTATATTTGTTTACAATATTTCACGTTCTTACTTTGCTAAAAATATTTTGTTAAGTGTTTGTGTGTGCTGCCGCTGGGCCAAAAAAACACCCTTATGGCGCATGAGTTACAGCCTAAATTACATGATGTCCCACTTGGACTTTTTTTTTAATGTATTTTTTTATGGTGCATACCGAAAAGAAATAGCATATGAGTTTTGGTCTTGAGATCCTTGTCGCACCAGGAAAGCTCCATCATTTGGAATTCTCTTCAGAAGTTCCTCAGCTTCAGCCCTGCTCATTTCTTTGTGGTACCACCTAATCACAAGAAACATCAAAGTATTCACTGAGTACAAATGGCTTGTGTATACATTGAATTAATGAAATCTTTTCATCTATATTTTATTTAGAAAAAGAAATTCCTTTTTCACTAACCTCTGTGCAATATGACAGTCAGGAAGGAGAAAAAAAATTATGTTGTTTTAAATAATTTCAAGCCTAATCATATAATGAGTCAAATACAGAATTTTATTGGAAATGCAAACACTTCTGTGGTATAAGAATTGTTATGTGAAACCTATTGAGTGTATTAGTAGCCTTAAACTCTCGAGTTTCCCTTAGGATGGCTTGCGCTAGACTGGGGGAAATTCACATCACTTTGCTCGAGGTGGTGTACACGTGATCTGCCTCTTCGTGGCGTGGGAGACTAGTACGGACATGCTTCCGGAAGCCAAAGATCACACACTGCAAAACGCATGATTTCCAAAGCAACGGAAGTTTGCGCTAACATGATTACGTGTTGCCGGTGATGGGTATGAGGCAGTGGGGTGGCGGCCAAAACCCTTGTCAATGATTAAAAAGACGCGGCCCTGAGAAAGCCGCCCCTAGGCGACCGTTTCGTCCTCGCCACGTCCAGCCCGAACAACTCCCAGAACGGTGGGTTGAGGTAATGCAACGCCTCCCCCGGAGAGGAAGTAAAAGCCGTTCTGACCCCTCACAGTCCTGTCCGAAACGCTCCCGGAGAAATGCGGGTTTGAGGCAAGGCAACGCCTCCCCGGGGGGGAAACAAATCGTTGGGAACCAAACTTGCTTGCACAACTCTTGGGACGGTGGGAGAAAGTAAGCCAGTAACTACTCCCAGAGTGGAAGCAAAGCCGTCCCACACCAAGGAAAACGTACAGCTCCCGGGCGGTGGAGGTGGCAACGCAACGCCATCTCCGGAGTGGAAGCAAAGCCGTCCCACACCAAGGAAAATGTACAGCTCCCGGGCGGTGGAGGTGGCAACGCAACGTCATCTCCGGAGAGGAAGCAAAGCTGTTACAACCCCCTATTTACTCTGGGCCGAGTTGCATGGCCGGAGTCCCCAGGGACTACTGGGCTATGTTTCACGGCCAAGGTCATAAGAGATAGACTCTCGCGACCTTCGAGTATTGATCTTTATTAGTAGCCTTAAAACATTTTGGATTTAATACGAATACCAGACTTTGTGAAATTATCTTCAATGATAAGAGTCTATGGGAATTCGGACAAGTGTCCATGGCACTGCATGTAAATATGTCAGAAATGAAAAGATGGTTAGTCAGTTGATAAAAATGAAATTTATTTTGTACATACTGTTTCCCCTCATGGCTTTGAGGTTGAGGAACTGGCTCCTTGAGCACCTGAGTGAAGTCAGAACTACGCAAGGGGAATTGACGATAATGCACTATAAGATTGTACAAACTGTCAAATGTAACAGCATCAATTAAATAATATTTGATTTGTCCCCTGTCTTGGCGGGACTTGATCCGACAATGGTTGACTCTTCCTTGTCTCCTGAAGTTTTTTTTAAAAGAAGAAGCACTGTGTATAAATGTAACAATACTTATTTTTTTAAAGATACTAAAGTTTAAAAAAATTTAACTTAAAATGTTTAAATTTTTATCCAAATAAATAATATGGACAAAATATCTTAAATTGAGAATCAATTAGTGAATTTAATTAACACCATTTATGCTGTTTCCTTTACTCAAGACAGAAATTGGATGGCCAAAATTCAGTAGTTAAAACTTAAGAGTTATTTTATTTCCCAATTATTTTAATAACACTAGGCAGATGAACTGTATTCACCAGAAAGACAAAGAGAAATCCCCAACGAATGTATCACTTTCTCTGACCAAGAAAGTGCCATCTCCTAAATGACTGTACTGGCGAAGGAGAGCCTCAGCACGATTTCGACCACCTTCTAAACGACCATGAAACCACTTCTCACTGAAATGGAGTTCATCTACAGGTCGACCCTGTGAATTATGCACATGTTGAAATCATTTCCTAATTGATAAAAAAAATTCAAAGACATTCCTAAAAATAAGATTCAGTTATAAGCAGGTATCTATTGAAATAATATGAAATTGAATGAAAGATGAAATAAGTGGTGGTACATTCCAATTTTCATACTTTTGTGACACTCAGAGAATTGGATTTGAGTAAATGATCAAACATTATAAATAAAGGGCCCTCTGTGCGTGTCAGTTAAATGAAACACATTGGTTGTTTTTTCCCTCTTGAATTTATTTTTCTTCTTTGGAATATTTTTTTTCCCCCCAGTTTTTTTCTTTCAAACATTTTTAAAAACATTTTTCCCAAACTTTCAAAGACAGTGACCTTTTATGCTAATTTTCCCAAACTTTCTAGGCCATGGAAATTTTTCATAATTTTTCCCAAACCTTCATAGACCATATGAACCCTCTCCAGTCGTGCTTACCTCAATAGAGGCTGTGTCTTCATCATCCATTTCCTCATCTTGGTCCTGGATAGGTGTCTCCTCAGCATAGTACAACTTGCTTCCGCTCAGCACAAAGAAATGAGGATGCCAAGTCTGTAAGGTAGAATAAGATTAATTTACTTGCCATAAATGTTTGTATATATTCAATGAACACAAAACAGAGATTTTAAAACCACATAGCTCTATAGCTTGAAGAAATTACTGGGACATTCTGATAAAAATTAAATATTTGTGATGTATCTAAGTTGATACTTACACCATCAAAAGGATCCTCTAAATACAATATTCCATTCTTCACTGATGAACTTAAATCAACCTCCATTGTACCTGTATAAAAAGGGTTGAGCTTTTGTATTGTTTAAGTTCACAGATAAATAATTATAAATCGATTCTTTTAGTCCAATATATTTCCTAATTTTAAATGCTTCTGTTTTAATACAGTTTTAAATTTCAAAACTAATGTAGAACATAAAATTTAAGTTAAATATGCTTTATTCTTTAAAAAAAATTTTTTTATTCACTATGAAGCAAGTACGACATAAAAATTCTCTCTTCTATATATTTAACCTGACAATCATAAAATGTCCTCAACATCCCCATTCTAGCATCAGAAAACTAGTATAAACAAATTATTAGTTTTGCTATTCATTTCAAAACAAAATGCTAAAGATGGCATTCACAAAAAACTTATAACAAAACAAACAAATCTTTTTTTTTTACACTATATTTGTAATCTACAATGACAGCATAAGATTAATGCTAGATAGAGGACCAATGAAAACAATATTCTCCATAGATGTACAACTATTGTGCCATGAAACACCACACCATTTGATGGACTAGCAATAGGATTATTTCAATTTAAAAATTAAATAAAAAAGCAAAACTTTTCTCACCACTGTCTTCTGATGAGACAGCATAGCGCCACTCATTATCATCAACCCACTCAGGCAGTTTTTTATGCTGTGAAAATAAAGAATTTCATGCAACATATTAGCACAGTAAATGGGTGTGGGATAAAATGGCATTCATTGTGAAATATGCAGAAGCCTGAAGCAGACAGAACTCATTTGTCCTCTGTGGTTGTTCCATCTTTCTAAATTAAGTTTGGTTAATATTTTAGTGATTAAAAAAAAAATAATAAAACCATTTTTTTAAAAATGGAAGAACAAAAATAAATAGTGAAAAAAATAAGAATTTTGACACTTGAACATAGCTTCAGACAATAATCAACAGAATAAGCTATAAATAGGGTCTAAGGTGAAATGACAGACAGTAGTCTAACAAAACGAAATAAAATTTCAAGGACAAACATCATAGCCTTCTACTATAGCCATCAACAGTAGCGTCAATGCAAAAAGGACAAAAAAGTCTCAGAAAAATTGGCTGGCCCAGGCAAAGTGGAGGGGGATAAATGTATGCAGTTGTGCAAAAAAACACAGTCCACCATCTACAGACAATAATATGGGGGGAATAAAGACAGAATCAAAGCTAAAATCCACAAAGTTTGGATGGAAACATGAGATATAACTGATGATTGAAATCAAAATAAATGCAAGTCATAATTAAGTCATCAAACGGAGACATCCGCTTTTAGGCACTACGCAATTGCTTCTCTAAAAAAATTTCAGTGATTTGCAAAGCATAATAAAATGATAATATTTTTAAGCGTTTCAATAGATGATTGAAAGTTAAAAGATATGTGCATGTTTAGTTAAAAGATATGTACAGGTTTAGTTAAAAGATATGTATAGGTTTAGTTAAAAGATATGTACAGGTTTAGTAACACATAATATATTTCAAGAATATTTCTTATGCTTAAGTCACTATCAACACATTACCATAATACGCTGGCTAATTAAATTCTACTCTTGCTGATTATCTTTATTAGGGTCAAATAAAAAAATCTGGGGAGGCAGCTTATTTAAAAAGATTGGCTGTGATACAGATTTATATAATAAAATATGGTTCTATTTCCTGCAGAATTAACTTCTCTTTTAAAATATATGTTCTTTGACTGAAGTCATCTTTATCATGCTCGATGAATAGCAAGCTTGTCAAAACTTTCGAAACATTCCACCAAGGAGCATAACTCTCAGGATATTTATTTATATGTGATAAAAAATTAAATATTATGTTTAGAAAACTCAGCCATGTTTTAAATTATTATAATTCATCTTTAAAAAAACAACAACCCAACTTAATAGTTTTAGTTAATCAAATTTCTTACCCACAGTTACTAATTATTGTCATTATTATTTTTCTGTTTTTTTTAAAGTAATCCTAAAAACTTTTCCCAATATCTAACCACTCAAAGCCAATTATAAGATTCAACCTCATTCTGCCCTGAATTAAAGAGCTATTGAATTGCACTCATTTAAACCATCTTCTTTCATCATATAAAATGTGCATTATTGTTCAAAATATTTGTTTTAAATTATTTACCCTTTAACATTCTTGAGTAGGTTGGAGCTATTTTTTTTATGGCCATCTTGTAGATGTTATGATTAATGAAGAACAATTAAAATCATTTGCCAGCAATAAACATAGCATTTATAAAAAAATTTTTTAATGAGCTGGAAAACTGAGCAAATTATTTTGATGATGCAGCTAATGGGATCAAGTATCCATTAACAATTATTTCTATGAGCCTTGGAAACAAACAACCTCATGGAACTTGGAGAATAAGGTTCAAAAGCATCATTACTTTCTACTACTGTCTGTCATTTCATCTTTTTTTTCCTGTTGTTTTGTTCCCTGAACAAGGCTTCCTGCCGACACCTTCGTTGTTTTGTTGTGTTCCTTTTATTCAGGTTTAACCCTACTTTGTTTTACTCATTTCATATTGGGCTAACCTGATTGCAGTCTCTCCCCTTATTACCCTTCAAATCCTACCATATCTCACATTTCAACAGAGCTTAATCTTAAAAAAAAGTGCTCAGATATATATAATTCTGTCACAGGCATCAATTTAAACAGAGACCAAAGGACAAGTGACTGCTGATGATGTCATTGCTTTCTCTTTAACCTGGTAAATAGCTTATGCCGTGCAGATAATATGATGCTCAACTTCCAGAATATCTTACGGACATATTTGTTGTTTTTTTTTGGTCCTTTAAACAAAATGAATATCCAGTCATTGGATTGCGTAAATATATTATTTTTGTGAATGTAAATGAAATCTTTACTAAGTTGAGTCTCAGTCAATTAGCTATAAAGTCTCTTGGTTTAAAGACCTGAACTTAACAAAACATTTCTAGAACTAGAAAATATTGTTTTCAATTTTTTTAAAAATTGTGTACCAAAATTAAAAAATTTGTATGCTTTGACAAAAAAAGGTTAGCATTAAAAAAAAAGCCACACAACACAAAAACTAAAGCCATCATGGGGCTCTGAAAGCTGAGTGTAAAAAAGAAATATTTGTACACTACAATGAAAAGGAGAAAACAAAATTCAGTTTTGTGTAGCAATGAGACACAAATGTCAAAATACATTCAGAAACAAAGCCACAACATTTCATAATTTTCTAGAGACCTGCTGACTGCAGGGCGATTTAGAGCGAAATGGCAGCCAAATTTTCGGTCGAGAATGGAACAGCACCTGGAGACAATTAGTGTAACCATCAATCGAAAACTGTTGGTGTTAGACCTTTTTTTTTGTCTTCATTTCTGAAGCTAAATAGTTGTTTTTCTTTTATCCCTACCTTTAATAACATGTATTAATTTAATGAATGAAAAAAAATCTCAGAAGACTTTGAAAAATTAAATAACTTATAAATGTGATATTAGGGGATAACAATATAAATTATCTTTTGATGATTTAATATTCAGGCAAAAACAATAATTGGAACAACCTCTGCTGAAGCAACATATGAAAAAGCTGAAAGAATTTAATTGGGTGGGAATAGAATATTCAGAGATTAAACCAGAAGCCTTAAAAAAAAAACATGGCAAAATAAATGGGGTGGTCTCATGTGTAAGAAAAATAAGCAAACAAAATTAGTTTTTCTAATGGAAAGTGATCAGCTATATTTATGATAAAGATTACCTTCAAAATAATTTTGAATTTCAAATCATTTGGTGAAGGCATCATTGCAGCATCTTTTTGAAAGGGTTCCACAAGTAATTTATCTTAAATAAAATACAAAAAAAAAATTAACATTTTCAATTTTAAAAAAACCCAGAAAAATAAAGTTCTTCTGTAATATAGACATGTTAATTTCTTTAAAAAAAAAGAAATGTTGATTCAGAGAGCGAATTATGGGCATTTATTTTAAAATGTATACTTGAATTTTATGTTTGTAGTCTTTTCACAAGACTATTGACACATTTAAGGAAGGAGGAGGCCATTTTCAGAAAGTATAAGACTGTTTATTTATCAAAATCAGTCATGTCTTTAGAAAACTAAAATAATATGAGAATCCCCGAGTCATGGCCAAAAGAGTTTGTAAAACAGATCAATCAAACATGTGTTACTAACTATGTTGTTGAGTATGGGTGTTCACTAATAATTTTTGTGCACAGAAATTTTGTTTTATTGTGCGCAGTGTGTCTTGTGTGTTCGTTTAGTTAATGAACACTTGTCCCCACCTTTGGGTTTATATATATTGTGATGTAATTTTATTGCAGGAGTGACGTTCTGCCTGTGATCTGTCTTTGGTATAAGTGCTATTCGTTGGGCAGTTGATGAGAGACTTTGTGGATGAAGGTTTTACTATATTCTTATAACTATAGTGAGCTGTGTAATACATGTGTTTGATTCACTGTACAGCCTGATGTTTCTGGATCAAAGTTTTTACATTGCTATTGGAAAAGGGACTTGTGTTCGATTCGGTGTGATTAGGACGTATGAACGTGTAAAAGACTTTGATGAAAGAAACCAATCACACACGGATAGTGACACGTTTATTCTGATGAATATGGCTAAGAATATTAATGACAAAAGATGGTTATGCGTCAGCTATATTCAATGACACTCTTTTTTAATATCATATTTTTTCCATGTCCTACGCTGCTCATTTTGAATCAAATCGGGTACATATTTTGATTTCTAAACGTTCCTTTCAGGCCAGCTACATTCTGGTTTTATGTAGTAGGACATAAACTTGTTTCATTTTATGAGGATGACAGAATGATTTAATCAAAATACAGAGTCACCCATTTAGAGTATTTAATTATCAACTAATTTCATTTTTCTAAATTAAAACAATAAATTATAGCATAAATTATAACAATGTAATTAGATCGGGATGAAGATTAGTGGGTTGAGGTTGGATGTGATTTTTTTAGTGTGAATATCCTCAAGCTCAAGGAATTCAAGATGTCAATTTAGCTCAGAGAATATGTCATCTATTTCAAAGCTTTCTTTAATACTAAATTAGGCTATTCAAAAAAATTTAATTGGGCTCCTGGTCTCAAATTTAAAAAAAAAAAAAAAAACTCTTCAGTTGAAGTTGCACCGCCAATTAAAACCTTGTGCTCAGAATTAAAAAAGGTGCATTTTTACTGTATCTGACCCTTATGAATTAAATCCATTAATACCAACCTCCAAATGTGTCTCTAAATGCAATAGCCATGTTCCTCTGCTGGCTCAGGTTGCAGTGATTTTCAATTGAGAGTATAAGGGGATACCTTAAAAATTTAGACATTCGCAATTTAATATTTTGTTATGAAACAGAAACAAAAATTTTTTGACGTGATTTACATTTGAATAGTATTACAGTTAGCTTTAAAGAATATTTCCCATTATTTTTAATTTTTTAAAGCTTACAAGAAAATAATGTTTGAAGACACTCACTCTGAGCTAACCCAAGCATGGTCATTGATAGTTTTGAGGACATCAAGAAACTTGATCTTTGATGTTAAAGTGTGACCATGATAAATATTGGGATATCCGTCAGGACCATCCCAACAATCCACTATAGAAAAAAATCATCCATCAATAAAAAAAAAAAAAAAAATTTAAAAAAAATCTTAATCAGGGTTTCCACATCCCCCTTCTATTTTTTGACTAAGTCTCAGACCCCCCCCCCCCCCCACACCAAAGTAACAATGCATTTCAAAATTGGAGAAAAAAAATTGGACTTCTAATTAGCTTATTGAATTACATAGAGAACTTTAGAACTTTTAAAAATAGGCATGTGACTTATTACAGAGAGTAAAATCTTAATTAAAAAATTTAAATAACATATAAACATTTATATCATAACTTAAAAGTCAATGTCTCTGTTATTATATAATTTTTTTTGCACCCCCTGAACTGCTACCAATGGCTGGGAGTGCAAGCACGCACCCAGGTTGGGATACCCTGATCGAGATTATACAAATAATTTTTTTTTCTAAGACTGAACTACAAATTCAGTTATTAATTATTTTTAAACAAATTTTTTAAATTTATTTTAGAAAACATAAGAAGATTTAACAACTTTGAAATGTCAAACTGACATTATAAAGAAGTTTTTCTCAAAATGATTTTGAATAATAATTTTAAAAAAAACAGAAGCAGATAGAGTTTACACTTATGGTTTTCCTAAAGCTCCCTTAATTATCAAATAACTATAAAGATCAGAGAATATGTTTCACTTACATTCTAGACACCTGCAACCCATTCTCAGAGCTCTTGCATAAGCCTCAGGGGAGGAGCTACTGTACAGCTGATCACCTGTCAAGTATCTAGAAGAAATCATGCAATTAATTAGTATTATTTATTGGGGTGCTTAAGTTGCAATGGCACCTCACATTAACAATAATTCATTGATAGGATTCAAAATAACAGTTAACTATGACATGTTTGTAAAAGCTCAAAATGTTTGATGATTTAATAGCTAACATGCCCAGACCGAGCAAAGCCGATCAATGGTGGAAATTGGAGCCTGAACAGCAGAGTTTGATGACTTGAATGCAGATGGACTATTCGGGGAGGGGGGGAGGGGTGGCTCGGCAGAATTATGTACATTTATAAAAATATTCTGCAACAATTATCATGAAATTTGGACAGTTATAACTTTTTTTCCATGCACCAATGCTGGATTTAGGTTTTTTCCAGGTGCCACTTAGTCTAACTTTAAAAAGTATGCTTTGAGAAAGAGAGAACATTTTTTTTTAATTAAGGATTTGGTCACAATAAAAATGATAAAACATATGTGTAGGTCATGAAAACCCATCAAGTTTGCCTCTGCAAACAGTAAATAAAATTGTGAGTTACTGGTTTGCATATTGGATTGATGGTCAAAATAAATTTATGAAAATTGTTTAATATTTTGTGAAGATCCTGTGAGGAACACACGGCTCCCATGGTAACACGACACACAATTTGGGAACCACTGGGCTATGCTAAGAATAACAGCTTAAAATAAATGTCTATAAATAAGTGACTCGTTTTTTTTTTTTTTGGTGGTGGAGTTGGGTGCCGAAAGCTCGGTAAGTATGTTTTCCAAAAAAGTATGCGTGCAATGGGGAGAGGTTTTGAAATCTGTCCTTTTTTCACAGCAATTCTACATGGAGGTCCCCTAACTCCCTATAGAGAGGGTCATACTATTATCTTTAAACTAACCACCAAAAAGTTCTGCATAAGAGTATTCGAAATATATTTTGTCTCTTAAATTCAGGGAACATTGGTTTGTATCATTCTACATGCTTTTTTAGTTGTACTAATTAAAAGATTTAGGACCTAAGTAATATAAATTTCATTGCTTTCTAAAGTCGTTCTCAACAATTTCTCCACATTATTCCCATTACAAAAAGAGTTAGCAGGACTAATGTAGAGAAAATAGTGTGAACCATATAGTGAGCCCTAGAATTAATATCACTGGTTAACAAATTATATTATCATGTGAATTATCAATATGCAAAATTTCAGAATTAAGATCATTGAATATACAGACACAACAGGATTAGAATTTTATATAAGTGCTATGTGTGCTAGAATAATCACAATATTTACATACAGGTAATAGGCCCACTTAAAAATATTATTAAATATATTTTCATTTATTATCTTTCAGGTCAAACTCCTTTTTTTAAAAAAATATTATTTTGTTTAAGTATAGTTTTTGAGTGCTTTGGGTATTTAAAATATTACGTGTTATGAGAAGAAGCAATCCAGTAGGAGGTCAAAGGTTGATTCATGTCTTGTGTTATTGCCTCATATTTGCTGTCAAACAGAGGGTTGTGCAGGGAGAAGAGGTACTCTTCAAACTAAGGAGCAAAGGTGAGTAGATTTTGACAAAAACAGGACTATAAATATTCAAGTGGAAAACACATATAAAAATTGAAAAACCCAATAGAAAGTAGCAAATTTCTGTTCTTATTGAAAACTATGAGAACTGTTGATAGGATGATTCTTTTACCAGATTTAACCTTGCAAGTAAAATGAAGGAATTTCATCCTATTTCTATTCTCAGTCAAAAAAAATCTTTTAATTAATGAAAAATTCCAAGCCAAAACATTTTTGAATTCTGTCTCTTATCTATCCTAGTAGTTCAGTTTAGACCTAGAGCCAAATCAATCCATGAAGCTAGCTTTAACTGCAGAATGATAAATGATGACAGGTCAACAACATAAATACAAATCTGAGCACTATTGAACTACACTATTTGAACTACAATTACAATCAGCCTTACCTCTTGTTGTGTAAAATAGAACCCGCCTGCTGCTCTAACCTGATCATCTAGGAATTCCAACATAACCCGCTTGACATAACCTATCTCATTAGCTTTGATATCCTGGAAATTAAATGTTAAACTTATAGATTCCTCAGTACAAATGAAAGATTAATAATCGGTAGTGAAACAGGCAGTAAAAGATCAATAATAGACAGAAAAAGATTAATAGTAGGCAGTAAAAGATTAATATTAGGCAGTAAAAGATTAATAGTATTAATAACAGAAACCTAATATTTACATTAAGTCTGGCAAACTGCCTGTTATATCACAATCACAAAAAACAAACAAAATTCTAAAAAATACCCCAGGGTTCCCTGTTAGAATGTTTCTTTTTTTTAAAGAACCAAAAAACAGGAATTTTCCATCATCCTAGAAACTTCATATTTGATACCAAAGAAGCTGATATCACCGCAATATCTAAAATGTTTGTTTCAAATTTTGAAAACTTTCAAGAGGGGGCCTTGGGGAGGTCAGATTGCAAAAAAGGGGTCGGGAGAATCATGGAAATGGGAGAAGCCAATAGAAGAAAGACACATGACATCACAGTCATTAATTGTTGTTCTAAATACAGAGTTGTTTTTTTAACAGCCTTTAAACAGGCAGCTTTTTTCTTTTTTTTTTAAATGATGAATCGTCACATACAAGGTTTTAAACCAAGTAGCTGAGGTTTAATATTACCATAACCAAGTGATGCAGACCCTGTCATCTTTCAATAAATTAGGATTCTTGTCTTGGGTTTGACATTATTATTTCTTTCAAGGATGAAAACAAAAATTTGTCACTGCTTTCCTCGTTTTAGATCGCATTCTGTATTAAGAATCAGGACCTCATTAATAAAAGTAACAAAAAAGATGATTGACATTTTGAAGATCCATGGGTGTCAACTTTAGAGGGGCAGCTTCAAGCATAAAAATTAAGTGTGCCTTTTGTTTCCTCAGTTATTAATATAAAACATTATCTTTTATACCTGGCTACCACGACATTCTTTACATATATTTCCTGAAAAGGGACAATATAATTGTCCTTTGTTAATCAGATTTTTGTATACTCTCAAATTATTTTCATGTTGATATCCAGTACATTACTTCCGAACTTTATGGAATAAAAATAAGCAAAGCTAAGACAGAGGTCATTTCAGCAGGCTGTATCCCAAAAAAGTGATTTCATTATCATTTGCTCCGTCAAATCTAGAAGTTTAAATATCTTGGAAGCATTTGTCAATGAGGACGGAAAAAAAGGATCTAGAGATAGAGACAGAGTGCAGCTGGCAAATGCTTTCAGGAATCAGATCGCACAGCTTCTACAACACCCAAGAATAACGATGGAGACCAAAGTCAGGCTCATTAGCGCAGTCTTTATTCCATCCCTTATTTACCAGTGACAAACCTGGGCTCTGAATAAAAGTCTCAAGAGTAAAATCTTCACAAGCGAGATGTTTAAGGCGTGCTAGCTGGTCAAACAAGAAGGACCACATTTGAAACAAGGAAAATAAATAAATGGTTGGTGCTATCCCAATAAGCCAGTATAGGGCCAAAAAAAACCCAATTGTCCAACTCGTTAGAATGCATGTCAACCAAACCTGCATTGCAAGTTTACAATAGCAGGAGCTCTGGTACAAGAGACAGAGCCAGGCCGTCTGTGGATTGACTGTGTTATGGACACCATAAAAATCCTCAATATGAAATTTCAGTAGGCTCACGCTTTGCTGCAATCAGTCGACAATACCTACACCTATTCTTTTTGATAGTGTTATATTTTATATTTTTACAGGCGTTGAATGTCCTTCAAATGCAGCATTAGTAATGCATAAATGGTAATTATATCACTCTAAAGTGAGACAAGATTATGAGAGGAATAAGGTTTATTTGTCTAGGCCAGTGGTCGGCAAACTCCATTAGTCAAATGAGCCAAAAATCAGCAGCAGGACTATTAAACAATTTTTGAGAGCCCAATTTCTTTTTAAGAATCTGTCAAGAAACATGGTTTTTGGAGTCAAAACGGAACTGTAGCCGACTGGCCCAGCTGCACTCAGGTCGTTATAAAGCCGCCGCGAGCCGCGCTTTTCCCACCACTGGTCTAGGCAGGTTTAAGATAAATAGCAAATCAATGAGATGGGTTTGGGCTGTATAATAAATATTATTGTAAAAATTGGGGGATGACTTCCATTCCAGATGAACAGTGCGTAGGTAGTTTGATGCTGGATAGGATGTATGTAACTTGATACTGGACAGGATATAAGTAGCTTAATAGAGTCACCGCATATGGAACACACTGCTACTTGGTACACGGTGGCAGCAGGAGGTCAACCATGGGACACTGAACAGGGGAATGATGATTGCAATGTCAGGAGGTCAACCATGGGACACTGAACAGGGGAATGATGATTGCAATGTCAGGAGGTCAACCATGGGACACTGAACAGGGGAATGATGATTGCAATGTCAGGAGGTCAACCATGGGACACTGAACAGGGGAATGATGATTGCAATGTTGAAAGAATGAAGAAGTTCTATTTTTTGACCCCACAGTTGAAAAATGATAAGCGTCACCAATCCCGGGCGTAGCCACATGTGGATTTCCTGCCAAAAAGCTACATTTTACAATTATGCCTCCATGTCGCATCCGTTAAGATTTGTTTTCACACGTCAAGTTCATTCACATGTTCATACATCATTTTTGATTAAAACTAAACACAAGTCCTGTTTCAAGAACAACAAAAACTCTATCCAGGATTCTCTATCATCTAGGCATACAATAATTCAAACATATAGTGCAGTTTGCTACTGAAAAATACTATGTAACGAATAGCATGTATTCAAATGACAGACCATAGACACTGGTCACAGCTACATAAAAATCGGTCACAATAGTCACAAGTCTCATGGTCCCAACTAATGTACAAGACACACCATGCAAAAGAAAACACAGCATTCAGTGCGTAACAATTACAAGTGAATATCCATGCTGACAGAGGAAATTTAGTCACTGAGAGATAAACTGCATTTTCTTTATTTTAAATGATCTTTTTTTTTAAAAAAAACGTTACCCCTATATTCAATTTCTGCCGTACATTAACTCCCCCTCCCCCAACCTAATATTAGTGAAGCATGGGATATTATCCAGTTTCATATAAAACGTTAAGGAATGTTCTCGACAAAAAAAAAATGCATCAGTTTTTGTATATTGAAAAAAAAAAACATTCCCATTTTTTTTAAAAATAAAACATTCTAAGATATTCTAAATTCACTAAATTCACCAAAAAATCTCACCTTTTGTTCCTCTAATAGAAATTGTTGAAAACTTTCAGCTTTCATCCTCCTGAAAATACAGACCCAAAAAATTATATCATTTTCAGTTCCATATCATTAATTTTGTTTAGATTCTCCATGTTGTTTCTACTGTGAACTAGAGGCCGACAGAATTTCTGAAATTCGGTTTCGGCGCCAAAAGTTGCCATTTGGTCACTTTCAATAGAAAAGTAAAATTTCGGTTTATTTTCAGTTTCAGCCAAAGTGATTGTGACTTCGGGACGTCTGGCCGAAAGAGATTGAGACTTTCAGTTGTCTACCGAAGTCAGATTGTAACCCTGTCTGTTGGCAATCCCATATTCATTTTTGCTCAAAGTCTTGCTGTCATTGTATGATATATGACTATTCCTCAGCGAACACTGCTTGCAACTGCATGATGACCAACTTGTCCAATATTTCCAAAAATAACATTTTAATTATGCTTAGGCAAAAGTAAATAGTTTAGTTGGGAAAAAAACTAAGGGAATGGTAATATTTAAATTATTATTTTAATTTGTTCAAATATAAAATTTGGGAGCCTTAGGTTTATTCAATGCATTCATTTGTGACATTAATTTTGATTTATCATGGTCATAAATGTTGTCATAAGCAAGGGTTAAGAGCATTGTAAAAAAATAAAATCTTAGGGAATGGTAAAATTTCCATTTTTATTTTTGTTTTAAATTTGCATGTGACATGACATAAATAGGACTGGACCACAGCAATTGTGGAAACGGAGAAATCTAGGAATTTTAAATTTTTAAAAAATAAACTGCATTTTAAACTGTTCTGCACAGGAATTTTGGATTGCGAAATATTTTGTATCTAGTTAGCTGCATTTGAAATCTATTTTTAGAACTTCCAAAACAGCTATATCCCTTAGCAATCTATACCCTGTATGATTTCAATACTACAATAGTTAGGGATTACCATACTGTATACTACACTAATTAGGGTAGGGGAGGTTGGTCCCCAATGAAATAATTACGTCATCAGCACACAAAAAAAGCTTACTACAGCAATATCTAGTGAGCTATTTATTTTTTAGCATTAGTATGCCAGTAACCGCAAATCATTGTAGTGATACATTTAAAGCCTTAATAGGCCTAATAAGAAATAATTGATTTAACAAATTTTCAGGTGACAGTCAGCTCTTATTAGAACTGTGAGGATAATTATTGCAGAATTTAAGCATAAATTCAGGTACATTCTGGTAATCATCATCAACCCCACCCCCACCCACCCCCCTTCCTGTCTTATGCATGTTCAGTTCGTTAATTTATTTCAGGATATTAAAAATGTGTGATAAATAAAGCTATTTCCCTAAAAGTTAAGCTCAGAAAAAAGATAATTTAGTAAATGGTAAAATCCAATTCATAATAAAGATACACATACTTTTCATCTCCAACTAGTTCAAAGTACTTCTTTAAGTTGTCATCTAGAATCTAAAAAAAAAAAGATGAAAAATTGTTGATTGTAAAGAAATATTTGAACTTTTAAATAAATAGCCTGTAAAAGTGATTTACATTTTAATTTAAAAAATTAGACTTCAGGAAGCACTATAGATGCAATCACACAGAAATAGAGTCTAGATCAAATGTGACAAATTAAATTCTTTACATAAGTTTAAATGAGAAGTAAAAATTAAATAAATAAAAGGATGACAATGCAATCTAAGGGGTGGGTGGTGTGGGGTCGCCATTGCTATTTTTCCTTTGATCAGGTTAGCAATCATGCTTTGATTTGTATAAGTGAAATACGTGGCGGACTGCGTTCAATTTGAAGCAATTAGAAGTATACAAGGAATAGAAGAAAATCTGAAGAAAGACCATAACAGAAAGTGATAGTTTTAGCCGAAAAGCCTTCAACAGGCAAAAAAAACCAACACCCTTAGCTTGTTGGTGGTCTACAGGAAATGTAGAAATATGCTATGGTGGATGTGAACCATGAAATCAAAGAATTAGACTATGAGATTAACAGGAGATCTTAACTTAAATAAGATAAGAATTTAGCAAAGATTGCTATAAAACAATGAGGACTGCGTAGGTAAGGTTAGCAAGGATGTTGGATATGAGGCAATATCATGGAAAGAACACAAAAAGCAAATGGGTTCTTGCTAACTTTCAGATATTTTGAACACAATGAGAGAGAGGGAGAGAGAAAGAATAATTAGAATGTTAAGTTTTTCAAAATTTTGTATGATTCAGAACATGAATATTTTACAGCATGAAATCCTGAACATCAGGTGGTTCTGAAAAAAACATTTGTTTTGTGTAAATGTTAAATACTTTCAACATTCAGCTCTGTAATTGTTGTCCATTTGAAATACACACAAAAAAACAACCCAGAAATTATGATTCCAACATTGTATCTCTATAAGTGGGTTACTCATTAGAGGCTAAGACAGTGGTTCTCAAGTAGGCAGTATCACCCTTCACAGGGGGTGGAGGTAGCTCGGGGAGGGGGGGGGTCGGGGTGGAAGGCTGGAACTATCAAAGAGGGCATAGAGGGATTTTATTGGAAGTAATTCTTTTTCATAAATAGTAAAATTATAAATTCAAAATGAGGGTTAGGCCCTGTATTTGGTTTTCATTATCGGTAACAAAGAGACGATGATTGAAAATGAGAAAAAAAGACATCTGATCTATTTTTCAAACAGAAGTACCAGCTGCGATTAGCAACACATTTAAAGTTGGCTAGATGCTGTGAACTGCCAACCCCCAAGACTAAAAATGGACTTTACAACTTAGTCCAAAATCTATAAGCTTGTTTTACTTACTTACTTATGCCTTTTTACCCCGTCTTCTAGGCATAGGCCATCCACAAGAATTTTCCACTCATCACGGTCCTGTGCTTTCCTTTCCAATTGCTTCCAGGTGTATCCCATATTTTGTGTGTCTGCCTCTAGCTCACGTCTCCATGTATTCTTAGGCCTTCCTCTCTTTCTTTTTCCCTGTGGGTTCCATGTTAGCCATTGTGTGGTGATACTATCTGGGGGTTTTCGGAGCGTATGCCCTATCCATCTCCATATTTTCTTTATGATATCTTCTTCAATGGGCACCTGATATGTCCTTTCTAGTAGATCTTTGTTGGTGATGGTATTTGACCATTTGACGTTCAGGATTTTTCTAAGGCATGTGTTTATGAATGTCTGCACTTTCTGCGTAATGCTCGCGGTTGTTTTCCAAGTTTCTGCTCCATACAGTAGAACTTTTTTAACATTTGTATTAAAGATTCTAACTTTGGTTTGCAGTTTCAGCTCCTTTGACTCCCATATTTTCTTTAATAGCTTTTCCAATTCTAGCCCTTACATCCGTATCGGATCCGCCATTTGTGTCTATGGTGCTGCCTAAGTATGTGAAGCTTGTTTTACCATGATTTTTTTTTTTTTTTTTTTTTAAATGGAAATGTGTGCATTTTTTGATGCAACATTACATTATTGGGTGATACATCGGAAAAGTCACAACAAATAATCATTAAAATATGCATCCTACCAGCTATATATGAGGTTCTAATTTCATAGCCACAAGGATAAGAAACTGGAAGATTAGCTGCATGGCATAGCAAAGTTAAAGGAGCTTGTAATGCAACTGAATGAATTGGCTTTCAAGAAAATTCATTCTTGTTCGCTAATGTACTTGTTGCAACAGATGAAAGTTGGGATCAAGACAACGAAAAACTTACATTTTCTATTTTTTAGCAGATCTTTTAAAGTAAGAAAAAAACATAAAAGTAAAAGGCATATGAGGGCCATAATTAGAGCACCAACAATGACTGGCTTTACCAAAAATAGAAAAAAACAGTGCAAAATATTTTTTATTATTATTTGTCATTCTTCGCCAACATCTGGTAGCAAAACATGTCAGTGAAATTCTTTTCTGCAGTGAATTAAATTTTAGAAAAATTTCACAATAATTGACAGGCACTCTGTGTTGAGAGTGGTGCAGTATTTCCTACTTTATACTTAAGATTGTTTAGACGAATGTTTATTTTATTTCTGTCTCCAACTCAACGACACCACACGGAACATTGCTTATCAGAAATATTTGCAAATTCAATAACAATGAATATGCAGATGAATGGGAGTGCCCTATGTCTTTTAAAAGCCAAATCTGCTTTCCTTACTTTGGATTTAGAGTTATAAATTTAAGGGAAATATTGGTGTTATAGCCAAACTCTGCATGTAAATTTTGATGACCTCAATTTTTGGTTCAACGTGGAGTTGTATCGTAGTTATCTCCCTCATTAATTATATGTCGTCACCAATTAAATTGTTGCAACATACTACCACTCCTTCCCCAACTCCCAAGATTGGGAAAGTTTGTTTACATTTTCCAGAGGAATCTACATAGAGGGAGAAAGTACTCTCTAGACTTTCTATTCTAGAAAATTCTGATTCACTTAATATAAATAAGATGGTTGACTCTGACCGGTAGATATACCAGAGATACAAGAGACTTACACAATTTTCACCGTGTGTGGATCAATAATTTTACCTTTCTATTATTCAGGTATTAAGGTGCTGTAATTTGATTGGGTTTTATTTCTATAAATTTGATTTTGTAGTTCATTTCTGAATTGTTAGTATAACTAAATTGTTATTTGTAATTAGCACTTATTGGGGTATCATTCTTTCTTTATTACATTTAATCAATGGATTAATCACTCTTTTATGTACTGTATTTCTCTTCTTTATTTTGAGGGTCCACAATCAATGAATTGATCATTCTGGCTCCTATTTTAATGAGCCATTTTAAAACAACATATTAAATTTGTTAAACCTTAATACGGTATGTCGTAATCAGGCTGTGGCAAGTTATACTATTTTCCTAGCCCTTCAGAACTGGAAGGGAAGAGTGAGATCCCTCCATGATGACTATATAATATATATATTCAGAGCCATTTTATGATTTTCTTTCTGTTGAGTAAAAACTCCATTTTTAGGATTACTGCAGTTGCTGATGCAGAGCTTATGCGAGAAAAATGATTTTAAAACCACAATTTAAAAATAGTTATACCAAGGGTTTTGCCTACAGTAAAACATTTATTATCATATTCTGCACCGTGGAATGCTATGTGTTCCATTCTCATCATTGTATTTGGTGTATTTTTAAGATTGTGTATAAGTGCGGGTTATCCGCTTTGCTCACAGCAAAGAGATAATATTTAAATGTGAACATCGTCAATGAAGTTTTTACTGAGGGACTAAAAACCAGACATTGATAAATAATGTCACTTTACCCTTATTAAGTCCATGCCCCCATCACAGTTAAGAAAATTGACCAGTGAAGAAGTCAGATATTGAAAACTCTTGAAATATAATGATCCTACTGAGGTACTTCTTTATCAAATTAATTAGCTGATTAATGAATTGGTATACAAATATAGTTATTCATTAAAATTTTTTATTAATTGTTCAAATATATGTAATAATTTCACATTTCCTTGTGCAATTATCTTCCATACAGAGTCGCACAAACTTTATCTGAGACAGAATTGGGTTTGACAGGAGGCGGTCAAGGCAAATTTATGGGCACAATGGGGTATGAGCAGAATGGGGTGGCCAGAATTAGTTTGAGAACCACTGAGCTATGAAGGGAAATTTCAAGTTATATGACAACAGTTAAAAGGTAAGGACATGAGGTCATCAATGTTATCTCACCACAGGTACATGTATGAGCTTATGGTACAACGCAGCAAACTGTTCATAATTTATTTCTCCTCTCCCCTCTGTGTCGAATTCCTGAAACACAAGAAAGGATTTTTAAAGCCATGGATCCAAATGATGTATCTTTTTGCATAGATTTAATTAAATGATATAAATGTCTCTTAAATCTTTACAACTATTTTATATTATATATTAGACCAGGGGTCTCCAAACTTTTCAGCCCGTGGGCCTCATTAACTATCAAACAGCATTTCGGGGGCCGAGTACACACTCAATGTCCAAATAAAAAATAATTAAAACATGGATGTTGTTTTTAATTATTTATGTATTATTATTTCATTCAGTTTTTATTTTATAACACATTGATACACTACACATGAACACCTGTATTAGTGGGAATGGTGAAATTGTTTCCTTCATGCCAAAATAGCAGTGATTTGCAGAAATTTCTGGATTTAGATTTGATGTGCCTAACATCAACAGTGACCTGAGATTATCATCGGACAAATTTGTTCTCAAATTGTTCTTCACGTATTTCGTTTTTGAAAATGTTTTTCCCACAGGCTTGTTGTTCCAAAGATTGAAAGGTACATTGATGCAAATGTTTTGAAATTAGAAAAGTCTTCCTTGGGCGAAAAATAGTTAAAAACCCACCGGTCCTTCTTTTAACTTGTCCCTAAGGAGGTCATTTGCTTGCAACTCAATGACCTCCAGGTGCAACTGGCCACATCTGCTTAAAATGGTTTTTGAAACTATCTCCTTCTGCCTGTAAATCCAAGTCAGAAAACCGCTGCTGACTCTGCAGCTGGGGTTCTTTGATGATCTCGTAAATCTTGCGATGCTGTGTCTGTATCTTTCAACAGGTCTCTGAACTGTCTATGGTTGAGCCCATGTGACCTTATTAAATTAACCCTCTTTACCACAGGATTCAGTATGCTGCTAATGTCCACATATTTAGCACACAAAGCTTTCTGGTGAATAATACAGTGCAGTAACATTGGTTGCAGAATTCTTTTCTCATTACACATCTGCTTCACTTGTCCAACCAAGCCTTTCTTTATGGCACTCATGTTCTTTCCTCCATCAACAGTCAGGCAACTGAGGTTAGTCCAGTCCAAGTTATTATCAGCAAATGTTTTTTTTTCCCAACTCATTGAATATATCCTCTCCAGAAACAGTGCCGTACATGCTATGTAGTGAACCCACCTCTTGTGTTATGTTCATGTCTTCATCCACGACTCAACGAACACAAGCAGTTGAGAGGTGGAAAAGCTGTCCAGTGATTGATCCATTGCAATTACAAATTGGCGAAACTTGCTTGCATTTTTCTCTATTTGAGTCACAATGTTTTCACCCATGTCAGCAACACGGCGGGCAGCGCTCCGCCACTAGATGGCATTATATCATCACATTGAATTGGAACAGAATTAGAAAAACTAAGCAGCGAATAAGGTTTTGCCAAGTAATGATCGGTTAGAAAACATAACACACTAATGCGCCCCCCTATTTTAATTTGGTAAAAATATAACATCCACGTAAGCGGCGTCTGATCTTGGCAGGATACACGCAAATTTCCGTAATTTTTCCCGTAGACAAAAAGGTCTCTGCGGGTCGCATGAGAGGGTATCGCGGGCCTCCATATTATGGCGGCCCGCGGGCCGTAGTTTGGAGACCCCTGTATTAGACAATATTTCAATGGTTAAAATTACAACATTTTTTTAAAAAATCTTCTGCAATCGCATACTTAAAGTAAATGATTAATATTGAAGAGCCATGACATTGTGTACATGGTGCACTGGATACTAACTGTATTGGAAATATTAGCTTTGACATTGAAATTTTATGATGTTAGAAATTTTTTTTATCTTGTACCTGAAAACGTTCTCTGAGCTCTTTAGTGGGCATCTTGAAGTTGATTCTCGGCAACCAGGCTTTTAAGTTCTTCAAAGTCACTCTAAATAAAAGAGAACATTTTCAATGACTACACACTGCTAAGCAAATTTCTGTGTTTAGTCTTTTCAATAAATTTTTATCATACAATAACAATAATTATTAAATAATAAAAAACCTCCTCACAAACTATTCTCAAGACATGAAGAGTTACAACTTACACATAAGATCCAATTTTTTCCATAAGGTAAAATTCTTTTCGAAGCCATCTGTAATTTGAAAAAATTAACTTTATTAGAAATTAAACAGCCCTTAAAATACAAATCTTTTATAAAATGCAATGGGAGTAGGACATGCATTCAAATAACATACTTTTTAATAATCCCAATTAGTGCTCTCCCCCGCACCCCCCTCGCAACGGCACATTTTGTTCACGCCCCTAAACTATATTAATATTCTAATGACCCTCCTTTTTTACACAGCAGAATGCAGATCAATTGCACCATCTATTTCAAAAAAGACAAAAGAAAATATTTTGCACCCAATGAACTTCAAATTTTTAACACAAAAAAAACTAATTTAGCGCAGTTATCGGGAATTTTATCTTATCTTCCCTTTGAAAAACGGATTTTTGGGGATTGGGGTTGAAAATTTGAAAAAAATGTGTTGTCATTGCCAGCGAGTCTATGTGCCAAGTTTCAGCTTGATAGCTTGACGGGAAGTGTGTCAATAAGCCGTCTGAAGATTTTGCCACCCAGCCAGCCACAAACAAAAGCGTTGTTAATATAATGGATTTAAATAATTTATTTGTTTGTATTTTTAAAATTGCCTTTTGTTTTTGTTCACATTTATCCCCAGTGCGAAGTGATTTCCGATGTTTCATTTAAACAGTCATAACTCCAGAAGAGATGTCAATAATACAACCATTAACAAGATAAATTAACTACACTTGAAAATTTATTTATTGGTGACTTTTGCAAGCTTTTAACAATCACCACAACTTTAAAAAAAAATATATAAAAAAACGAAAGCATGCTTGCTATAAGAAGATATGAAGTAAGGAATGCATTAACAAAAAAGTTTAAATTGATGCAATGAACCTAGTTTGGTAACTGGTGGGACATCCAAGTTTTGGACATTTTACTTCCATTTTATGCACTGCTTACAAAAATAACTTCTGTTAAAATTAGATTTGAACATTATGCTTTGTTTTTAGTGATTAGTAGCCACACATGTCAAGTCAAGACAATGACTTTTACAGAAATTCACCTTTCCAGCTGCAGCTGATGACAAGCCTCTTTAGTTTCCTTCACCAAGTAATCCAAACCTTTTCTCCAGTAGTTAAATTCTTGGAGGTCATTGGCTGAAAATGTGTTTTATAAAAGGTAGCTGATAATGAAAACGTCAAGAAACTTTTCCAAAGGGAGAGCTTTCAATTGAACTTTTACATGCGCACATGTTAAATGATCTTTTCATATAATCAATGATCATAATCTAAAAGAGATACTTGCAGTGTATACTAAAAACACCTGAATCTCCCATAACTGACAATACAGATACAGAAGAAAAGATGGGTTTCGAGTCATTTCCATTTAGATTGTTACAAAACATCTCTAATGACTTGTTATTATACTCACCCACTACAGATAAAGACTTGAGTTTAAAATCATTGCCATAGTAGACAGTAAAGCTCATGCGACTGTCTACTTTCTTAGCCTCTTCTGGCCACTTTTCAAAGTCTCTTGAGTTTTTACCACATCTAACTTCTTTAACATCTCGAAGATTTGCTAAAATAAAAAGGAAGACAATAATAAAATCTTTAAAGAGAAAAGTATACGAGACCCAGTTAATATATTTCAAATAAATGGTGATTTCAAAAATGAGTAAAAGCAAAAAAAAACTGTAAAAAAAAAAAAAGTTTATAAATTATAATATATAGATTAGATTATTAAGTACATTTTTACATTATTAAATATCTAAGATAATTGAAGAAATGATTTAAATTACCTATGCCTTCTGGTCTGCCTGCCTGATTTTTTATCCACATTAATTGGCGACTTTCTAATTTGACTTTCAATGTTTTCCTTTCTGGACGCTTTCGATAAAAGAAGATTGTGGTCACCAGACCCATTTCAAGTAGCCTCATTACCTCAACAAGATCTGGAGTCAGAGGCCCTCCATTTACCATAGCAGATGCCATTTTGGTTCTAGTATTGTCTAATCCTAAAATGTACTGACTGGAAAAAAAGAAGAGACTAACAAGCTCATCATAATATTAAATACAAACAGAACTTAAAATGTGCAACATAACTTTTCATGTAATGCTTTTTAAAACATACGATCACACTTTAAAAACATACAAAAATCAAAGGTATTTAATCTGAATATGATAATTTGTTTTATTGCACAGTTTGCTTATGATAAAAAAATCAATAACCAGATCATGGATACAGTTAAAACAAAGAAATAAAAACTGCTGACAGCTAATGGAAAACACTCCATGAAGTTGTGCTAATGGGTTATATTATATGAAATAAAAAAATTTGGAAGGGATTAAAAAATATACATTTTGTATTTCACAATATTTTACTACAGTAATTTCAGAATGTTTATACAGACCACTTGCCTGAATAAATGGGTGTGGCACTTCTGCTGGCTTGAATCTTTAATGATTCTGCCTGAATGTAAATTCAGTGGGGTAGGAGCTCATCCTAATTAGTAAATAATAAATAGTAAAATTATATAAAATTTAAGTGTTATCATCATTAATAAACAAAAAAATTATTGATTCTTGGACAACACTTTGAAACAAACTGCACTATTAACAATTGTTTTGCTTTATTTCAACCCCAAAAAATAAAGGAAAAAACTTAAAAGGTTTGTAGCAAGCAAAACCTACTTTCATGAAGATTTCTTTCTGTTAATTCAGTGTAATTAAAATAAATCAGTTTTGTTTTTGAAAAGCCTGGCTGACAACTTCTAGTTCAGCTTACTATTACACCGATTTGTAGGCATGTATATATACAAACTAAATTTTCATCTAAATAGAACGATAACCATGAGCTTGGCATGGAGTCATATATCCACTGTAAGTTGTTTTTTTTTTCATTATTCAATAATCATAAATGTGTGTGACTGTTTGGGTTCTGTACTTCCTGTTGTAAATTTAAGTAACAGTCGGTCTTTGGTGACGGTAGAGAGTACTCTGAGACTGAGTTCCTTCTGAAGACAAAAATGATGAACAGAGCCTATCCTATCATGGGAGATATCCAGATATCAGAACAAGGTGTGTTTGCCCTCCTCAATACCATTAACCCTTACAAAGCATGTGGTCCTGACAACATTAAACCACGAGTGCTCAAAGAATTGGCCAAAGAAATCGCTCCTGCACTGACAATCCTCTTCCAATCGTCACTATGCACAGGAAATGTTCCAGCAGACTGGAGAACAGCGCATGTCACTCCAATTTACAAGAAAGGGGAGCATTCCGACCCTGCCAACTATCGTCCGATATCCCTCACTAGCGTCGTCTGCAAATTGTTGGAGCACATAATCGTAAGCTCTGTCATGAAGCATCTTGAAAGCAAAAATATACTCAATGACTGTCAACATGGCTTCCGAGTCAATAGGTCATGTGAGACCCAGCTTCTCGAATTTGTAGAAGACTTGATGACCAATCTGGAGAACCACAAGCAGACTGACGTGCTAGTAATGGACTTCGCAAAAGCATTTGACCGGGTGAATCATAGTTTGCTTCTACACAAACTCCAGATATATGGGATTCAAGGCACCACTAAAACATGGATCTCTAGCTTCCTCAGCCACCGACGCCAAGCAGTAGTGGTGGGCGGTACAAGCTCCTCCTTTGTCAATGTGAAGTCAGGGGTCCCCCAGGGATCAGTCCTGGGCCCCTGTTTGTTCCTAGCATACATTAATGACCTACCGGAGAAACTGACATCACAGGCAAGACTGTTTGCAGATGACACAGCAGTGTATAGGACGATCGCCAACAGATCTGACCAGGACCAGCTACAACAGGATCTCAATCTGTTAGCTGAGTGGGAGATGAGCTGGGACATGGAATTTCACCCTGCCAAGTGCCAGACACTATCAATCTCTAGAAGTTGTACTCCTCTACACTACCAATACAAACTGCACGGCCATATTCTTGAGCAAGTTTCCTCCGTAAAGTACCTGGGTGTTACCATTCAAAGAGAGGTCCGCTGGGACGAGCATATTAACAATGTATGTAACCAAGCAAACCAAGCCTTGGGGTTCTTAAGGCGAAATCTAAAGATTGGCAACTCCTGTGTGAAAGAAAGAGCATATAAAGCCTTTATCCGTCCGATTTTAGATTATGCATCTTCAGTCTGGGACCCATTTACCCAGAAGAGCATTGACAGGTTGGAGGCGGTCCAGCGACGAGCAGCACGCTTTGTCCTAAACCGCTACAGGAATACCTCTAGTGTTGGCAGCATGCTAGAAACACTAGGCTGGTCACCATTGGAGAAACGACGACGACAATCCAGGCTCTCCATGATGTACAAGATAAATAATGGGCTGGTCCACTGTTCCAGTATTAAACAGAAACTCGTCCCTCTCCCCCATAGACAGCGACGAGGCCATGACAGGCAATTCAGGCTCATACCAGCAAGAAGCCAGTATAGGAGCTGCTCATTCCTGCCCAAGACAATCAGGGACTGGAACCATCTTTCAAAAGGAACAGTTGAGGCGACAACACTAGACACATTTGTGTCTATTGCCTCAAGCCTTCAAACCCCTAGTGCATAATTTCCTCATCACCACCAGTAACAGAAACATTGCAAATCCCATCTACATGCATAGGAGCCAAAATGATCAATAAATTGATCGTGGGCCCTTAAGATATAGAAGAAGAAGAAGAAGAAGTATATGAAATGTTTAAGCAACACCATTTCCCCCAACCGTTGCACAGATGCCAGTATATGGATGTAGCAACAAACACTATCAGAACCAGAACCAGAACTTACTTTCGATATACAAGAGCTATCTGAATAACAACCACATGTTTTCTCCTTTCAAAATGAATCTATAAACCAATGTGTCAGAGTCTTTGTGGGAGTGGGGATGCTGGAGGCAGTAAGGTGTGATCAGCAAAAATGTCAAACTATGCAACTATAAGGAAAATAGTTATGAAAACTTATTGAGAATGAAACTTTATTTCAGGTAAAAATTGTGGTGGCATTTAAAATTTCTTTTATAGAGACAACTAATTTTATTTTTTAATAGTAACTCTTTCATGTTATTATGATGTAATGGGGTACTTAAAAGGTGTACATTCATTAGCAGAATCACACACCATGCTGAAGAGTATATAATAAATGGGAAATAAGAGTTTGCATTGTTAGGGCAGGAAAAATGTTGTATCTCAAAACAAATTATTTCAATAGTGGACTATGTGTTCAGTGCCTGATTAAATAGGTCTACTTTGAGTTTAAGTTGGATAAAAATTGAAATAGCTTTGCAAAATTGATTTATATTTAAATCAATATTGTAGACCTCATTCTCTCTTTTTTATGTCATTGTTGCAGGTTATTGCTACACAATTCAAAATAAATATTAGAAGGCCTACAGTGTACATTGCATGAAATTAACCTTTAAGTTTTATGTAGTACAGCTAGTGCTCGACTTACGAACTTCGGTTCCGACAGACCGGTCGTAAGTTGAGTACGCTATGTGTACAGTAATGTGAAGTGATGTTATAAAAATATTTAAGTTAAATTATATCATAAGTTTCTTTTATTATTGTTATAAATCATAATTTGGGAGTTCAAATTTTCAAACTCTGAAGAGCTCTCCAATCAACAAGATTTAGCCGCGCTTGGGGACGTTAATGGACCTAGTGTGACTGTGTTATTTCTTAGAAATTGATGACGCTGGCCAGCAGCATAGCATCATGCCTCCCTTTCTTTAGTTAACGACTGCCGATGATTGCAGACAATGCTGTTCGACTGATAATTGAGGCAAAAATAAATCTGAATCTAATATGGCTAGTGATTGTGGTCTTAAAGTCGAATAGTCATAAGTTGCATAGGTCGTAAGTCGAGCACTAGCTGTAATTTATTTCTTCTTTATTTAAATGCTATAAAAAAATTGAAATAGTCGGATTAAAAAAACCTTCAAAGAACATACAAATTTGAAGAGTCATACAAACAGCAACATAGGAATTATACATTTTTCAGGATAAAACCAAAGGCTGTTCCCGAATGTTGAATACAAAAGTCAATGTATCTTTTTTTCAATGCAGTGTTATTCTAATTTTTTTTTCTGCTCATGCTATTAAATTTTTCGCTAATTACTTCTTGTTGACATATAATAGTAAATGCCATCTAAATCCCTAACTCAAGAGTTAATTCCACCATAATTTTAGTCTCCCCCCCTCCCCAAACTAGACATAAATTCACCTCTAAATTTAATCCCATCTAACAAATGCGTAAATTTCAATCCTAAAGCCATGTGTTCTTTTGCCAACTACAGTTACTACACACTGTACTGTAGTGAGAAAATTGTAAATTTGAATAAAAAGATTAAATAATTTTTAAAATATTCAAAATAATGAATAGGCAGCTCACAGTTTGATTGAATGCACTGTTACACTTAGTTGCTCTTTCCACCAAAAATAAAATCCATAATTTGTCAGAAAAATCAATACCATTCCAAAATGCTGGCCTCGTTTTAAGTATTATAATTAACCACCCATTGTAATTAGTAATATTAATTTAAAAAATTCCAAGGGTGTATTAATATTTATAAAAGAAAAGCTAAGTTTACTAAGAATCCAAGAATAAACAAGGTAAAAGGGAGAGAATCCTACACAGAAACTCAAAGTGGCGCTGATTGCGCAGATTGACCCCGGGTGATACCAAAGTCCACACTATATACTTTTTAAACATGAAAATTAAACAAATTTGGGCTCTCGGCAGTCTAAGGATATCAACATTGTCATTTTTTTTTTTTAAGTACAGGTAATTAAAGTTAAAGTGTGTCTTGAGACTAAACTGCTGACTGAAGCCAGCCAAAGCAATGAAGCTTTGTCATGTCTGGATAGGCTTACAATACTAGCATTACTACCAGTACCATAATTCTAACTAAAGAGTTAGTTAAGGTTATGATTCTTCAATGATTGAAAATGAAAGTTATGAGCAAATTGAGTATGAATGGGCATTGGGCTAAACTAAAGACTAAAGGAATGCTACTAAATGCTAGCATTTTATTACCTCCTAGTACTAATAAATAAGATTAATTGGCTAATTCAGAAAATTGTTGCCTGACTGTCTGCATTTGCCCATTAATTAACACAGTAGGTACAATATCATCAATCACAGTAACTTAAAAGTAAAAAGGGGAAGAAAAAAGCTATTTTTTTTGTCATTAGACAAATGAACTAATATAAGTCTAAATTAAAATGGATAAAATACTAAACTAAGATTCTTAGTATATGCATGGCATATGCAAAAAGCCTTCGAATTTAATCTTTTTAAAAATTCATTTAAATCATTTTAATATTTTATAAATTTTTTTTTTTTTTTATTTAATTTAAAATTATTTCATTTTCATCGTCGTTTCTCGACTACTTACCGCAGTAAATTTTCATTAGTGTCCGGGGGGTAGTTCATTATAATTAAAACGCATTAATATGAACATATGTGTCTCCTGTCGTTCAAAATATTATTATAGAAATATTTTCCTCGTGAGAATGTGTTTATGATATTTGTTTGTGCTGCTGGAATAGTTGAATGCAGCAGTAGCCATTTTTCTCTTCCGGGTGTGGAATTTAATATTTTTCTCGTAGGGGAGATAATTATCTGGTAATCCTTTGACATTTAATTTATCGAGGTCCCCCAACTTACTCGTAATACTAATTTTAAAAATGATTTAACATATTTTGTAGCCCCTGTTAGGGTGGGGAGGAGACAGGTGGCACTTTTTAAAAATACATATTGAGGACCAGTGGCGTAGCTAGGGATTTGGGGGCCCGGGGGGCTTGGCCTCTTTAGGGGCTCCTGCATTTTGACATTCAACATTATTTAATGTAAAAAAAAAATTCGGACACGCCTTTGGAGGGCCCCCCTCAAGTAGGGGCCTGGGGGACTTTCGAATTTGGACCCCCTCCCCTAGCTACGCCACTGTTGAGGGCCAACTGCAGAGTTTTAGTTTTCGTTGAGGGGGTAGGGGATATTGACCTACCGGTACCCTAGACGGGTGTAAACCTTGCTACGACGACGACTTTTTTGTAGCCCGCATTTATACTTATATTAATATATTCTCAAATTTTTGAATATTATTATGACATAAATAATGAAAAACGACTGAATAATAAATCACTAATAAATACAATTGCTTCTGAAACTTTTTCAGCCCACGTCCCTTTATTAGGCTCTATATTATTTTAAGCGGTGGGGAAAAAGCCATTCATGCCGTGTTGTGTTAACCCATGTGAAATTCTGTAACAGTGTTTGGTGGTGAACGTTCTGTTTCGTAAAGCGTGGTACAACATGCCACATCATAAAGGGTGCCTGGACTGGGACTATTAAGGGGCTGGGTGGAGAAAATGGGTAATGGGGCTTGACTATCATCCCAGAAAATGTGTGATGAAAGTCCGTAAGGGGTCATCCATTAATTATGTCAACAAAATAGGGGGGAGGGGCAGGTAGGTTTGGAAATGTTTGACAATTGTTGACAAGGGGGGGAGAGGGGTAGATTACTACCTATTACTGTATCCGCCGGCGGAGAAGCTTTAGTAAGCTAAAGCTTAAAAAAACATATATACGATCATCCTTGTCTGCAGACAGAATGGATTTGTTCATTTTTGAACTGACATTCTAAAGTTCTTAGGGGGCCATCCATTAATTACGTCAACAATTTTTGCCCCCCCCCCTCCCCCTTGTCAACAACTGTCATACTTTCAGTGACCCCCACTAAGTAATAATGTCAACATTTGTAACAACATTTTTACACCCCCCTCCCCCCCCCCCAAAAAAAAATGAATTATAATATAAATAAATATATAGATACATTTTACTTTGTGATGATCTATTTTAATGTCACAAAATGGTAGGAAAAACATTTTATTGCATCTTTAGCTTGTTAATCAACAAGTTAAAAAGTTTTTACACTTTAATTTTATAATGCAGAATCAATGAAAAGGTTGTTAAAGACTAAATATCATTGTTTGTGGAAGTAGAAATATGATTTTTTTTCAGTAAAGCTGACAATTGTAGCATAGTTTCTAGCTTCTATTGCTATTATCTTACCGGGGAGTAGCTAGGTGTTGCTCTATCGTAACAATGGGCATAGTAGCTGGTTTATCATTTTCATCTTGCACAACTGATATACCAGATAAGACAACATCATCCTCATCTAACCATTCAGCATTTAAAATAGAAGCATTGCCGGTATGAGCAAAAATTGACATAAGCTCTCTCTGTCTACTCGCAATGACTTGCATTAGTCAAATCATTTTTGTTGAGGAACAGGTGGTAATTTGAACATGCTATTTCAACAAGACTTGTGATGCAAAACATATGTTACAGATTTTTCAAATCCGTTCGAGCAGCGATGTTATTATTGTTACTCACTTTAATATCCCCTAATTCTAAAAATATCGTATTCCTACTCTATCATTACTATTTATCTTAACCGCACATGACTCTTGAACCTGCAACATAACCGCAAACATAATGCCCTAGTCATTTGCCTTAAATAGAATCTACAGTCGAAGAGAGGCCAACTTTTGACTTCTCTTGCATTAAAAAAGTGCTAAGATTCTGACCAGCCATCAGCAGTGCACAGACACAAACACATTAAATAAATCTTATATTGTTAAGCTAAAAGCCTAAAAATTGTATAACTATTTTAATTTACACTCATTAAATTTGTTAAAATAATGTAATAACCAGTCAAGTTTTTAAGATTAAAATTTTAATACAGAAAACATGATTGTTGACGTCAACTAATCTAAACTCGCCTCCCCCTTGTCAAAAATTGTCAAACATTCCCCCCCCCCCCCCCCCCC